CCTCCCCCTCCTCCCCTCCTCCCCTCCTCCCCCCTCCTCCCCTCCTCCCCTCCTCCCCCCCTCCTCCTCCCCCTCCTCCTCCTCCTCCTCCTCCTCCTCCTCCTCCTTTGTGGTGGGAGCTCGGATCCCCGGCCGTGCTCCCGAGGCCGGCGGATATCATGGCGGGGGCCATGATATTTCCCCTGATTTCATGGCGCCTCTTCTTGCTTCACTACGTCCATGGTCCCCCCGCTGGGCCGCGCACATGCCGCCGGTCATGAGTTGCACCCCCCCCTCTTGGACACCCCCCTCTTGGCTGCTCCCGAGTTCTGATCGTCCTGCAGCAGTCGCGTCCACCGAGATGGCACCTGGTCTGCCAGCATGGACAGCGCAGGAGTGTCAGAAATCCTGGGCGGCCCAGGGACCACTCGAATACCGGGGCACCTCGCCATGGAGCTGGGCCGGCCTGGGGAGACCTGGACACATGAGGCGCTCCAGAAAGGGCCTCCTCCTCCTCCTCCTCCTCCTCCTCCCCTCTCCTCCTCCTCCTCCTCCTCCTCCTCCCCTCCCCTCCTCCTCCTCCCCCTCCTCCCCCTCCTCCTCCTCCTCCTCCTCCTCGCCTTCGAGGATCGACGGAGTTGCCTTCTCTTCCTCGGCGGAAGGCGGCGGAAGCAAAACGAGGGCGGCTCCGAAGGCTTAAGCTGGCGGAAGGCCGGCGGAAGTAGAGCATGCGCCCCCAATGGCAGTCAGGGTTTCCGGAACCCCACCAGTCGTGGACACTTCCTCCTGCAGCAGGCGCGTCCACCGAGACGGCACCTAGCCTGCGGGAGTTTCATACATGCTGGACGACCCGGAGAACCCACTCGAGTATCGTGGCACCTTACCCCGCAGCTGGGCCGGCCTGGGGGAGACCTAGACGCATATTGCGAGTGCTTTACGGCCGGTGCCGCGGACCCTGGAGGGGCACGACGACACTGACGGCGGCGACGGCGGCGACGACGCCGCTGACGCTGACGCTGAGGCGGCGGCGAAGTCCTCAGGGATGCTTCGTGGGGTCTCTTCGAAGCGCTCTCGTAGGCCAGCGGGGGGGGGGGGGGGGGGCAGTTTGGGGGCCTCTTGGGAGTATCTTGCGGGCATCTTGGGGGCCTCTTGGGGGCATCTTGGGGCCTCCTGGGGCCTCTTGGGGTCTCCTGGGAGGTCTTCGGGGCCGAGGGCTCGAAACGTTCGGCCAGCCTGGGGGTGACCTGGACCCGTGCTTGGCTTCATGCGCGTGTTCTTCCAGCACTCGGCCGTCGTGTTGTCAGGTATGCTGGCCCCTCCGCACGCGTGTGCAGCTCGTGGCCTCCGCTCGTGCCGCATGCCAGAGCAGCCACGTGCGTCTCCACGAGGCCTGAAACAAGCGGAGGTTGTGCCCCGAGGTTCGGGGAACAAGCAGTGACATCAACATTCAGGAGAGAAAAAAACACACACAGACACAATTAATCGTCGACTCCCAGGAGAATATGGGAAAATATGGGATGTGTGGGGGAAAAAAATAGAAAATATGTGAAAATATTGAGAATTCTAGGATTTGTGTGTATTTATTTGTGTGTCCCTGGGCCCCCTCAAACATCACAGCTCGAAGGTGCACGTGGACTGCTCGCATCGGCGCTGGACTCCCATCCCTGGGCGGCGCCGGAGGCGCCGCCAGGGGGCCTAGGCCGATCCCAGGCATCCGCGCGGACCTTTGAGTGTTTATGTGTCTATGTCGCTGTTTGTTCCCCCAGGGATGCCCAGCAGCAAGATCCATCATGGCCGCCATTCGGTTCGGATCGGGTGTGGCCGGACCGGTGTGCGCTCGTTGCGGTGCGGCCAGCTCGGGTCGCCTCGCGGGTCGGTTCGGATCGCGATCGTGCACCCGGCAGGGAATCGCAGGCTGCCGCGCAGGCGCATCGGCTGGCGGAGCAAAGACGGCCACCAGCCCCGATGTGCGCTGGGCAGCAGGGCCCGCATCTCACGCGCGCCGACGTGAGGGACGAGGTCCGCGACGCCCTCGCCCAGTTTGCGAAGAGCGTGCTCAGGCCGCGGCGGCTCCCTGGCCACGTGAGCGAGGCAAAAAATGGGGTCGCTTGCGCCGACATAGGCGCGTAAGCTGCCCGCGTAAGGTCGCGCGTAAGCGCCCTCGCTTCAAACGTCGCGTGCCGTGCTGGCGGCCCGCGTAAGCCGCCGCGTAAGGTCGCTACGTCATCTCGCGTAAGACGCCCTTTCTTTTCATCGCTCACATGTCTCTGGCGGCTCGAAGGAATCGCCAAGGGGTCTGTTCATGTCTGTTCTGCACTTGCGGCGGTCTGTGACCGCTTCCTGGACGCAGGGCCGTAAACTACAACACGATTCAGGACAGAGCACCAGACCCATGAAATAGGTCGAGAGGTTCCATGAGCCACGGATGGAGCAGAACTCGTCCGCTGGAGGTTGGGCAGTGGGCATGGCGAGGGGGTGCAACCCTGTCAAGCATGCAGGGGATTGTGTAAGCCGGCATCGTCTCACCTATCCCCATGCTCGCTGCGACGTGGTATCTCAGCCCCACCAGGTCACCCTCCTAGGTTGGGATCGATTCCGCGAAACCCACAGGAACAGGCACATGTCCCCACCCAGGTGGGTAAGTGGGCCATTTGGGCTAAGGCCACGCCAGCGGGGATAGGGATCGGACAAACGATGCTTAGAGTGAGAGGGCGCCTCCTCCCTCCCAACACAAGATGCCCCCCCTTTGGAAGGGAAAGAGGTACGTACAGCAGTTCTCCGTTCGGAGGTCTCAGGGGTGGGTGCACTCTTACGGCGCACCCGGACGGCGGAACGCGAAGTGAGGCGTGACGGTGGGAGGGGGGGATGCGTGACGGCGAGCCTTGGGTCCTCCGATCTTTGGCAACAGTTGGAGCCCGCATTCCGCTCCCCACTTCTGCATGCCATGCATACGTTCGGGCAGTTGGGGGGACGCACGTTGTACCTGGGCGAACTGCTGGCAGCGGGAGCCAGCCCACGACCAGCTGAAGGGGATCGATACATAGAGCTGGCCTTAGGCGAGCTCCAGGCTCTCCGAAGAAACAGTTGACTGGGGATCCCACCGGCTCAGCCGTAGTGGGTCCATGGCCGTAAAATCAGGCAGTCATGCAGCGGTACAATTGTGTGCCTATAACGATACACACGCATGTTGTGTTTCATCTGCGGGATGTGTTTGTAAAGCGTGTTAGTGGGCATTCTCAGCCGCAATGGCCACGGAGTGCACGTTTATTCAGGAAGGGGTGTGGTCGCTCCCTTCCTTCTACCTCTTCTCTTCATACTGGACATGTGTGTTCATCCACATTCATGGATATTCAAACATACATAGGTACTTACTTACATACATATATTCACCTGCATACATACATACATACATACATGCATGCATGTATATAAACATATATGCGTACTTTCATACACACACATCTATACATACCTATACATGCGTGCGTGCGTGCATTCATACAAACATATATACATGCATGCAGGTATGCATACATACACGCACGTACGTCCATGTATACGTGCATACATACATACATACTTCCTTCCAAGCATGCACGCATGTTTGCATGCAAACCTACATGCATGCACACATGCATGCGTCCAAACAAACACACGTACATTCATACACATGTATGTATGTATATACAAATGTACACACAGACAGTCAAACAAACAAGCGTGCGTGCATTCATACAACCATATGTACATGCATGCAGGCATACATACATACACACACGTACATCCATACATAACACACATGCATCCATACATACATCCATCCATGCATGCACACGTACATGCCTATACATGCATGCGTACACACATACATGTTTGAATACATACATACGTACACATGCGCACACATTTACACACATACACATACACAGATACACATACACATACACATACACATACACACATGCACATACCTACACATGCACATACCTAAACACATACATGCGTGCATGTATACATACACATGCACATGCATTGGTACGCACACACATATGCCATCAATCCGCGAATCAACCATCCATACATACGTACGCACGTACACACATACATACATGCGTACATACATACAGCCAAACATACATACGTCAACACATACATCCATACATACAAATAAACATGCATACATATATACATGCATGCATGCATGCATGCATGTCAGTTCTTACATACACAGAAGCATGTATACTTGCCTTCATACAGAAATACGTACACGCATGCATGGATGCATGGATGCATGTATGCATACAGATAAACATACGCACATACATGCATACAGACAGACAGACAGAGGGACGGACCGGAAGACAGACAGGCAGACAGACATACATTCCGTGGAGCCAGCGATCGCCCCCTGCGTTTTTGTTTTTCGCGGCGCCACTCTGGGGCGGGCTGCCTGGGCCCCGTGAGCTCTGCTCCTCTGCAGGCCGTCTGGGCCTCCTGGGGAGTCCCACGGATTCGGTAGGAGGCCACGTGCGAACCCTACCCCACCACCCCACGAGTTCTACGCGAGAACGAGATAGTGACGCAGATGCGGAAGTATTGCCGGTGCTGCAGTCGGGAGCATTTCTCGGCGAGAATCGGCCGCTGCCTTGACCCAGGTGCCGGGCTGGGTGATTGGCCTCGGGCCTGGCTCCAGGCCGGCCGCTTCCCGCGCCGGGGGTTCACCGCGTGGGGGACCTCCCGTGCGAAGGGAACCCCACCTCCGCTCTGCGGGCCTCCCCTTCGGGGCCCAGGGGCACCCGTGGCACCACCCCCGCAGCAGTACGGCGCGCAGCCACTTTGGCTCAGGCGGAGGCCCGCGGGGGCGAACCCTGCGGGGCGGCCCGTGCACGCGGCACCGCGCGCTCCCACCCAGTGGGGCACCATGGGCCACGGTGGCTCGGCGTGCTCGTGCTGCTCCTCGGAGCCGCAGCCGCACCACCCGCGCGACTACTGGCTGACGGTCGGCCGGCGGGCCGCGGACGATGAGGATTCGGTCGGACGGGGCCAGGACGAGGATAGATCCATCCCAGAGCGTGCCGGAGCGCTCTCAGGGCGCTCTGGAACGCTGGGAGAAGGCCGCAGCGCCCGGGACCTCCAGAACTGCCAGATCTCAGAGATTCCCGTTGGATCCTTCCCCGGCTCGTCCTGGCCTCGCCCTGCTCGGGGGGCACGCGGCAGGTATCGGCGCCAGCGGGGGTCGGCCAGTCCCCCCTGCTCCTCTCCGGCTGACCTGGGCCCCGCGAGAGACGACTCTCTCCCCTAGGATGCAGCCCCTGGGAGGTTAAATTCAGCATCGGCGCCGGTACATCCGTGGTCGAGAAAACTGCCCAATCTGGCATTACGGCTAGTTCCGCTGGCTCCAACCTAGTCCAGCCCACATGACTTTGGGCTTAACATGGCCTGATCTTGCTTGAGACCTCTTCACCTTTTTTGCGAAGACTTCCCAGAAGCTGCCTCCTGACCTCCCTTTGCCTCCGCTGTCCCCTGCTCTGGGGAGCTGTCGGTTGCATGGCCGCCCCAGGACTTCGAGGCAAGGGCCCCGGCTGACCCCCGGCTGGCGCTGACCCGGGCCCCGGCGCGTCCCGGAAGGACCCCCCGCCAGACTTCCCCGACATGGCCAGCGCCGTGGTCGGTCGGCCATATCAGGAGGGCCACAGAGGCCGAGGTCGTCTATGCACAGCTGCATGCACGTAAATTTTTGGAGGCCCGCGCGGATCTCTCGGATCGGCGCTGGAGCCCCCTCCCTGGCGCGCGCAGCGCGACTTCCGAAAGTTTATGTTTATGCTGTTTCGCTTTATTCTGCCAGGGAGCGGTCAGGCAGGCCCCATGGGCCCCCGCTCCCTGAGAGTCGAGGGCCGAGTCTTTACGTCTTCCGCCCCAGGCTGTCCCCTGGATGTGCCTGGAGGTTTCCGGGACCTTGTCAACAGACCGCCATTGACTCCTAGGCAGCAAGTTGCCCCGGGTGGGTGGGATGTTTGCTATTGCATTGGACTTGGCGTCGTCCATATGTTTGTTTTTTTTGTTTTCCAAGTGTACCCCATATGTTCTGCGGAGTGGAATGGGCCGCATGAGCTGCACCGCAAAAGCTTCTCCGCCTTGCGCCTTTATCTATAATTTCAAGGCGTGGCATGACTAGCCAAAAACGGAGATTATAAAACAAGCATTGGCTTTCTGTCAACTGAGCCAAGCAGCAAGATATTAACAGGAGGCGCAGACTTACTGAAATCATAAGACAACCATGCGTATTTAGCGAATATGTCAAATGAGACCGTACGAGCCACTTGCGCGCGCATGTCGTGAAAGCTCAACCGCCGTCGCACGCCCACCAACTGTCTAGTAATACAGTGGCGGCCGCACGCGGGCATCTCCGAACGTGTACGTCGACATCCGTTGAACACCATTGCTTCCTTATGTGCTCATCACACAGGTGTTGAGAGACATACGACCACCAATTGGCTTGTCATGCAAGCAAGTCACGGTGAACGGATGTCTGCCGGGAAGTTTTTCTCATCATCCTCATCATGACAATCGTCATCACCATCGTCACTTCATCATTGCCACCGTCATCAGCGTCAGCATTGCCATCGTCGTCACCATCATCACCTTCGTCGGGTTCATCTTCCCGCTGCCATCTTGGGCATCATCGCCCTCGTCAGATTTCTACGCTCAGGCACTTCATCATCACCATCATTAGCCCCATGCGTCATTATCATCGCCAGCGTCATCTTGGTCATCTTCGTTATTCCCGACCTGACAGGTTTGGGTCGTTAGATTCTAAGAGCAGACATCCCGCCTCGCGCCTCTTTGCATACCGCGGCCGCCAGATCCCCATGGTCTCCCGAATGTCCCCGAGAGTCCCGCCCCGTGCCACGCTGCACACCGCGGCCGCCAGGTCCCCAGGTCCCCCGAGTGACCCCGCGCCTCGCGACTTCCTGCACGCCGCGGCCGCCAGATCCCCATGGCCTCCCGAGTGTCCCCGAGTTGTCCCGCCTCGTGCAGACTCGCTTACTCTCCGCGGCCGCCGGATCCTCAGGTCCCCTGAGTGTCCCCGGGTGTCCCGCCTCGCGCCGAGCGGCGTTCCAACATGTCAGAACATAGTACCGCGCAACACTGAAAGCTGGGACAGAGCAGAGCGCATCACCACGCCACCGAACAGGACATTTCCGAGCATAACATGCCAGTTCATACCATAACACATCATAGCATAATCGACCATGACACAGTATTGCATACCATAGCACGGCATCACAGCACAGACCATTACATACCATGACACAGCACGCATACCATACGAAATCATCGCATACTTGAGCATACACATACAAGACCATGCCACAGCCTCACATCACATGGTATAGCATGCCATATCACAAAACAGCACACATACCGAAACATACATAGCATCGCATAACATAGCATGCCATACCATGGCAGGACATACGTTAACATAACACCATACAGTGACACAACACACCACAACATACCACACCATCACAGCACATACGGCATGACGGATAGCATCGCAACACAGATGACACATCATATCATGGCAGAGCGTGGCATACCATGTGACAACACAACATAACATATCATTTTATACCACCATAAGTTATGACATAACTTATCATTCAGAAAAGAGCAGAACGCCACACCTCATGTCATACAATAACGGAGCATACCATACCATACCGTGGCATAACATATGATCACATCACGTACCATGGCATAACATATCCCACTGTAGCAGAGCATCAAAGCACATAGCGATCCATAACATGTCAAACGCGACGTGCGCACCGCTGGGAACAAACGCCAAAGGTTTCGGTGGCGATCCCCCGAAGCAACATATGTTTTACCATCATCTGCATCACCATTGTCATCGTCGTCATCGACATCGTATCGCCCCCAATTCCATTGTCATCGCCATGGGCATCAGCGTCATCACCATTGTCGTGTCCTTCGTCATTGACGTCGCGGTCGTCACCATCGCCATCACCATTTCGCTACCTGCAGGAATGACTTCATTGCGAGGTTAAGTCTCACACGCCCGTGCGTTTCTTGAGATGGTTGGATGAGTTTTGCAAACACGATGCGTGCGGGATGCCAGGATTTTTGCACGAGCATTGGAGATGAATTCTTCAGTGTAGAGTACACCGCGTAAGTTGCCCCGCGTGAGTTTCTCCGAGGGATTGTACCTGAGATGTTTTACCCCCCATGTATTGCAGTACGTACGGTGTCCCAGACACATTCACAACACGTTATTGCAGAGCGCAAGCCGCACCGTATGCATTGCGCCGCATGGATTGAACCCATCGATCGCGCTGCATGAGTTGCATCCCGTAAGATGCACAAATCCCACGCCAGCCTTCCATTTGGTTTGAACAAGTTGTCGAATGACTTTCAGCCCATCCCGTCAGCGTGCCGAAGTCGTGGACAAGAGGTTTCTTAAAGACCTCGTGTCGTCTATTTGAAGGCCTTTTTGGGGCTTCGTGAAGGCCTTTTGAGGGTCTCTTGGGGGCCTCTTGGAGGCCACTGGGCACGCGCGAGGGCGCGAAGATATCGCGCTTCATAAACCGCGATTTGCGACGTGAGGTCACCTGAGGAGGGCATGCTACGCATGGAACTCGTTGGACAGCAATGATTTTCGGATCCGTGAGTGGAACATCCCAGACAGTCGGATGACATGAGTCTTCGATGTTTCTTGTGGCTGTAGGTCGGCCATGATGCCCGCCCGTGTCCACCCCGTCCAGTCCTCAGAGACTTCGCATCCCCCTTTGAGTGTTGGTAAGAGCCCCGAATCAAGGATTAAATCTGGATCGTGAGAATGAAATGATAAATATCGACTCGCCGAAACGGAACATGTACGGCTCCAGGATTTGAACCAGAGTTGGAGCTGGAAAACAACGTCGACGGAATAGAAGACAAACGGCATCGGAACCCGAAGAGACAATAGAACATCCGAAAACGACGGGGAACGCACAAATGTTCGGCCGTTTCCAGGAACCACTAGAAGGTCTCCAGGGATTTCGCAGCCCCCTTTGAGTGCAGGATGGGGAGAGGGCCCGCCACCCCCAGGTGGAGACGGCTGGGCGAGTTGCGACGTGAGGTGACTTGTGTGCGGTAGGTTCGTGTCGTGGCGACCGGCGGCGATCCCGCCGCCGGCGAGCCACGTTGCGTTGGACGCCGGCGGCGGCCCAGAATCGGTCGGGTACAGCCAGGACCCCGGGTAAGGGGACCCGGTTAGTGGTAGGGCTCTGGGGCCCTTCAATCAGGAGCGAAAGAAGGACGTACATGTACATGAATCCGCGCTGGTTTCGAGAGCACGCATTGCACAAATGTTCGTATAACGCGGCGGGTCTCTCGGATCGAGGGGCCGTGTTCATGTACATAGCTGGGCGCGTACGTCCTTTGTGGGTTCCCTATTCAATTGGACAGATTCACTCAACCAGGTTTACCGTAATTGGCATTGTGGCCGCGCGCGGCGTCGGACGGAGCCGGTTCGGACCCTTCAGTTACACTCAGTTCCCCTCAGTTACACTCAGTTTCCTTCAGTTGCACTCAGTTTCCCTCAGTTACACTCAGTTTCCCTCAGTTGCACTCAGTTTCCTTCACTTACACGCAGTTTCCCTCAGTTACACTCAGTTTCCTTCAGTTACACTCAGTTTCCCTCAGTTACATTCAGTTTCCTTCAGTTACACTCAGTTTCCTCTCGGTTACATTTAGCTTTCCTGGCGCTGCGTTTGCGGCTTGGTATCCTACAGCTGCAGCCTCTTTCTGACGCAAGGAACTGAGACGAAACTGAGGGAAAACTGAGGGGGACAGCGACGCCCCTTTGTCGACACCTCCCTTCGCCCCCTCCTTTCAGTTTCTGTCAGTTGCGTTCAGTTTCTTCTCGGTTGCATTTAGCTTTCCTCGCACTGCGTTTGCGGCTTGGTACCCTACAACTGCAACCTCTTTCTGACGCAAGATACTGAGACGAAACTGAGGGAAAACTGCGGGGGACAGCGGCGCCCCTGTGTCAACACCTCCCTTCGCCCCCTCCTTTCCCATTTTCTTCCGCCATCCTTCCTCGCTGATCTGCCTCCCTCATGTTCCTTCCTCCCCCCTCCCTTATCCGTGTCCTGTTCCTGTTGTTGTTGCTCCTCCTCCTCCCCTCGTGTTTCGGGGCGTCAGGCTTTCCGGGGTCGCGACCTCATGATGATGATGCTGATGATGATGATGATGCTGATGATGATGGCGATGCGTATGACGATGAGGCGATGAATATGATTGTGACGGACAGCGGGGGTGAACAACATGATGGGTCGAGGACAACGAGGAAGAGGAAGAGGAGGAAGAGGAGGAGGAGGATGGTGGCGGTGGTGATGGTGAGGGGGATGAGGAGGAGGAGGAGGAGGAGGAGGAGGAGGAGGAGGAGGAGGACGAGGAGGAGGCGCGTGGCGCCGCCGGTTCTGGCTCACCACGCTGCGGCGCCGCATGCTATGCACGATCCGGTCCCACAGCGCACAGCTTCATCTCCTCGAACTCCTGCCAGCCTCCCGCCCCGCGGAGCGGAGCGACACGCTATCAGTTCGCCAAGGCATAGCGTGCCGCCAGGGGCGCCGCTGCGACACGCTCAGCAAAAGTCCCTGGCCGTAGGCTTCTTGGCGGTTTTGGGCCTTGGCTGGGACTGCCAGCGCGTCCTTGTCGCCACGAGGCCAGGTTTTCCAGAGAACTATCCGGCAGGCCGCAAACGCCACATTGGGCGTATCAGAAAGGGCCTTGCTTTCAAGGGTCGAAGGAGTTGTCATATCTTCCTCGGCGGAAGGCAGCGGAAGGGCGGCGGAAGGTCGTCGGAAGTAGAAGATGTCCCCCCAAGAGATGAAAACAATTTTGGGTTCAAGGTCCCCGAGACCGCCCACATGAGGGGTCCGAGGTGCCGACAGAAACGGGAGGGGCCCAGATTTCCAGGCGCAATCGAGGCATCATCGGGGGCGCCAGAGAGGGACTACAGGGCGGCAGTCGTCCGGGATTGCGGTTCCCATAGCTTAGAGTTATGGGAAACGCTATTGTGGCTCATTGCGTGCGGTTTTTGAAGGAAAATTGCGTTTCCCATCACTCGCAAGGTGTAGGGCCTCGTCCAGGGAGGTTCTTTGCTGGCGTTTTCGTGGGCTCACTGGGGTTTTGCCAGCCTCCGGATGCTCAGCCGCAGCCGCGCCTCGCCAGGAGCGGCCCCCCAAGTGTGCCTGGATCGTCCCTTGAGAGGCCGCCGGAGATCGGGTGTGGCGTCCTGAAAACACCAGGCGCCCGACAGGGGGTCAGGACTGTGACTTATGTTTCTTCTTCTTCTTCTTCTTCTTCCTCCTCCTCCTCTTCCTCTTCTTATTTTTCGTCTTCTCCTTATTCCTCTTCCTCTTCTTCTTATGATTTTCCTATATTTACATTATTATTATTTTCTTTTCTTCTCGGTTTATTCGCCCTCTTCGTCATAACACTGATGGTTACCATTGTTTCTTGTTATGTTGTATTTGGTATTGTTTTCTTGTTATCATGATTGCTCTTCGCATTCGCATTTGTACTCGCATTCGTATTCGCATTCCTATTCGTATCATATGTATTTTTCTATACGTATGATCAGTAGTTGTGATGTCTATGATGATCAGAGTATGAGTATACTCATTATGTTCGTATAATTCGTATCACTTCTATCACTCTTATCATTATTATTGACATTATTATTATTAACATTTTTGTTGTTCTTCTTCTGCTTCTTTGTTCAACACGCTCCAAGGCCCCCGCTCGTCCGCGCCCCATGCTTTTGGCCCCAATGCGCACCACCCCCTCTTCCTGGCCCCCCTGGGTCCGAGCAGATGGGGTTGGAGGATCGCGCCGCATCGTCGATGCATCGGCGATGCGGCCCGATGTGGAGCTCGATTTTCTCCGCGCTGGCGTCGTCGATGCATCGCCGATGTCGCCGATGCATCGGCGATGTATCGCCGATGTATCGCCGATGTGTCGGCGAGGTTGTCTTGAAAAATGAAGCCAGGATCGAGGACCGAGGATAGGATCGATGACCGAGGCGAGGATCGAGGACCGAGGTTCCAGGTTCGAATGCCTGCACTCCGATTCAGACTGATTGCGTCATGCCTTAACTCGGGTAGCTGAGGGAAACTGAGGGTAACTAGGTGTAACTAGGTGTAACTAGGTGTAACTAGGTGTAACTGGGCGTAACTGGGCGTAACTAGGTGTAACTAGGTGCAACTAGGTGCAACTGGGCGTAACTGGGCGTAACTAGGTGTAACTAGGTGTAACTAGGTGTAACTGGGTGTAACTGGGTGTAACTAGGTGTATCCGGACGCGCTCTCATGGCGTTTGCTGCGACGCTCGTTGCCGGGACACTGGTAATTGGTGTTTTTCGGGTGACGGCAGTTCGGGTTAGTGGATAGGGGGCGGGGAGAGAAACCCATGCCAATCTGGACGCCCGAGATGGGCACGGAAAGAATGGGTACAATGCCCAACAGCAGTTCTTGTTCAGTTTGAAGAGGACTCGCTGTCCGCGCCGCCGCGGCCTGTGCCCATTCGAGACAGAAGTCCGCCTTCCCAACAGCGGCCGCTGTTGGTTTGGGACAACATTTGTTGTTGGGCATTGTGCCCATTTTTACGTACCCATTTCGGGCGTCCAAAGCCAAGGAGCACCCTGATTGCTACCAGGGTGCCCTTGGTTTTTTGGGTTTCGATGGTCTTGCTGTGAAAAGCGTGACGTTCCCACACCAGAGACCAGTGCTGGACGTCCTAGGATCTCAGGGCTGGGTTTCTTGTGGAAGGCCCCTTGTGGCCGAGCTCCTGCTGCGTGTCGAAGGACCTGACGTTTCGGACACGGCCGACCGTTCAAGGTTGAACGGTCTCAGCGGTGTCCGCAACCATCGCCTGGGTCGACACGAGCAACCCCCGTATATGTCAGGAGGGAACAAAAACACACAGACACAATTAATCGTCGATTCCCAGGAAAATATTGGAAAATATGGGAAGTGGGGGGGAAGACAATAACCCAGAAAATATGCGAAAATATGATGAATATTTTTATTTGTGTATATTTCTTTGTGTGTCCTGAGGCCCCTTCAACGAGCAACCGCCGTATATGCTGGGGAGACGGTCCGGCCCCAACTGCCCCCCCCCCCCCAACGGGATGCGGCGAGGCGCGCCGCGCGAGGTGGCCCCAGAGGGTTTGCCTGGCTGCTCGCGGCCCCCGTGGGTCCCCCTGGGGGTGGCGATCCCCAGACCTCCGACGGCGCGACAGCCTCCAGCCTCGGGGCCCCGTGCGTGCCTCTCTCTCTCTCTCTCTCTCTCTCAGGAGGGACAGGAAGACACAGGCACAATGAATCGTCGATTCCGCAGAGAATATGGGAAAATATGGCAAGTGGGGGGAAGTCGCAAACCCCCCAAATATGGGGACACCTGTTTTTTTGATCTGTGTGTATTTACTTGTGTGTCCTTGGGCCCCTTCACTCTCGGCGGTCGACGCTTGATCCGGCCCCCCGCCGCTTCCCCCCACTCCTGGGCGCCAGGCGCAGCAGGGTGCAGTCGACCCACATGGTAAGGATGGGCAGCCTTCCCAAGGGCACCCATGCATCTTTGCCTCCTCGGCCCATCCTAAACCACTTTCGCTGGCCGCGCCCCGCTCGAAAAGCTTCGACATGGCCTTCCAAGGCCCTTGCATCCTTATTGCGCATCCTTATGATACGGGCCGACTGCGCGTGTCCCATTACAGAAGGAACGGAATAGTCAAAACAACGCCTGTGCATGATCTTCTGTTATCTTGACTAATTTTGCATGTTATTTATTATTTCCATTCTTCGTCCAAAATCCTCCTGTAGGAGGACATGCCCGACCTAACGCCAAGTGCAGCAGGGTAGGGATAGAGAAACGTGGCCTCGGAGGCCAGACTGTTGTCTATCTCCCCACTCTGGCCATATTTCAGGCCAGGGCGTGAGCAGGGGCATGGATAAGATTCAGGAGGGGACAAACACACAGACACAATTAATCGTCGACCCCCCAGGAAAAGATGGGGAAATCTGGGAAGTGGGGGGGGAGACGAATACCCAGAAAGTATGGGAAACTACGGGGAATCCTGTTATTTGTGTGTATTTATTTGTGTGCCACATGGCCCCTTCAAAGATGTCGACCGCCTACCCTCGACCCTTCCCCATGCCCAGCACGGACCGCGACCGCTCGGTCGCGACCGATTTTGAAGCAAGTCGGTCGCGACAGATCCCGGAATTTGAGAAGCAGCATCGGTAGCGACCGATCTCGGCCCCCGCGACCGAACATTCAGCATCCAATGGTCTGGGCATGGGCAGGTTTTTTCGTCCTCGGCCGTGCTGCGATCCTCCCGGGGCCAGAGAAGGAGCCCCGGAGGCGGGCGAATCAACAGAGAGTTTCTTGGAGACTGATTGGTTTAACAGGGTCTGTCGATCACCTCGGTCATCAGGCCCGCCCGCAAAACACACCCCTCCTGGGCTCGTTCCGACTCCTCCGATTCGATCCGGTTCGATTTCGATGGTTTCCGATTCCGATTCGATTCGATTTGGGATCTCGATTTGGGTTCCGATTTCAGGCATACTAGCCTGCCGATTTCCGCCGATTCGACTTTTCCCGACTCGGCCGCCGATTTTCTCCGATCCGATTCATTTCGATCGCCGATTTGACCTGCCGATCCGATTCTGGGCCCTCCTGCCCGTCCCCCTAGATGTCTTGGCCTTCTCGGTTGTTCAGGTCCGAAAGAGGCGCGCAGTGTGGATGCGCGCGGGCGTTCGTGTGGCTGCCCCTGTCGAAAACAAAAACATATTGGGTTATCGCCCGCCCCCCCAAACCCACCGGATATCCTTGGGTACAGTTGGGCCGGGAGCAGGAGGAGGAGGAGGAGGAGGAGGAGGAGGAGGAGGAGGATGAGGAGGAGGAGGAGGAGGGAGAGGAGGAGGAGAAGGGAGAGGAGGAGGGGGATAAGATCGAGGTCGGCTCGGGCAGGGCTTCTGGTGTTTTTCTTGCTTGGTGTGCGCTCGTGTGCATCCTGCGGAGGGTACCCTCGGATGTTCTCTTTGTTCTGGCCGACGGAGGTCCTCATGTCCACTTGAAGGCTGTTCTTCTGGACCCGAGTCCGACCGCACTGCCGACCAGCAACAAGGCACGGCCCCCTTGGAGGTCTGGGACCGACCGCGGGGGGCAGCTCGCCCTGCTGCAGCGCCGTGGCGCCCCAGGGCCCCGGCCCGGCGGCGCCGCACGTCCCCAGCTGCCAGGAGGTGCACAGGCCGGAGTGGACGCGGGAGAACTGGGCGGCCCTCGGCGGCGAGGAGGCCTCCTCGTGGGCACCGATGGCCGGGGGGGACAGGCACTCTGTGAGCCCCGGAAACGGCAGGGCCGTTTTTTCACCGTTTCCAAAAAATGTCCCTTGAAAATGAAAACGGCAAAAAAAGGCGACCGGAAACGGCCAAAAAACGGCTCCAGGATTGGAACCGGAGCTGGAACCGGTCAAAAAACCCCGACGGAACCGGTAACAAAAACGGCGTCGGAACCAGCAAAAAAACTGCAGAACGGAACCGGTAAAAAACTGCCCTGTCGTTTCCAGGGCCCACTAAGGACAGGCATATAGGGGGGGGGGGACGCATCCACCCCCCGTCGCCCATTGATCGCCGAGAGGGGCCCGAGGGCCCCACCGCGCCCAGGAGGGGGCGGGTTCGCTGGCGGGGGCCCGTCGTCGACCTGTCGGCGACGCCTCGCCGATTCCGGGTCGTTGTGTCCTTGGCATCGCTCGGACGTGTGCATTTTTCCTTCGGCGAGGACCATCGAGGAGCATCCTTGATCATTTAGCGAAAGAACCACGCACGAAACTGAAAAAAGCACAGGGAATGGACGTCCGAGCGATGGCGAGTGTCCCCCTGCCTGTGCCAATCCCCCCCGGCCGTCGCCCCTCACCTCCTGGCCAGCCCAAACGCCAGGGCTGCAAACCGCAGGCCCCCCCGCGAGTCGTGGCAAGCGTACAGTCGGAGCGAGGTATGAGGTCGAGGTCGTTTTGGTGAGGATATTATTCGTGTTCTTCGTGCTTGTTGGATGTTTGGAACTCTTCCACGTCTGAGCGCTTCCCCCCTCCTCCCCTCGCGCGGCCGCCCTCGTCTTCTTTCCTTACTCTTGCGCGCCGGACAGGTCGCCTTTCGCTTGCCCCGATTGGCCACACGCTGGTGCGGACTTCCTCTGCCTCTTCGCCGCCGACGAAGCAATGTATGTTCGATGTTATTGCGCATCTTGGGGAGGGTACTCTCGGATGTTATGTTTGTCTTGTCCGACGGAGGGTCTCATGCTCTTGCGTGATGCTCTTGAGACGAGGGTCCGACTGTCGCTCTGCGAAGGATCCAACCAGATTTTTTTAAAGGGCAACTATTTCGGTAGCAGCTTATGGAAGCCTCGTAGGTCCTAGCAGCTCTATTCCTAGAGCGCAGCAGCGTGCGCCAGTGTCTGGTAGTCGGTGAGACAGCGCCGATGTAGCGTCGATCTGGCGTCGATTTGGCGTCGATGATCGTCGACCAGCGTCGAGTGGCGCCGATTCGCAACAGCCAGCAAGGCGGCATGGGAGGCATCCGTGAGCTGTCGCAGAAAGCTATGAGCCGGACGGCTCCATGTACACGAGGACGTGGAAGGATTTGCAATGTCCTCGGCTTTCTCGTCAAAGGCTGTCAGGCCGCGAACGAAATCCCAATCATTCACCCCCGCGCTCTCGCAGATCGGCTCGCAACGGGGATCCTGGCGATGAGCGCGACGCGGAGCAGGACGGGTGCCTGGCATGAAGAGGGGGCGCCCGCTTTGAAACATTGGCGGCTGTGACGCCTCTCAATTCATGGAGGAGCTCCAGCACAACATGCGCAACGTGGCGACGTGTGTGCGCGAGGGCCACGAGGCGCGTGAGGGGTGTGCCGAACTTGGCGGGGCGACGCCAGGCGAAGGCACCCACTGAGGCCCTCGGTGGAGCTCCCTTGGGGCAGGAGATGCGTGAGGGGTGCCGCAATGGGCGGGGCGACTCCAGGCGAACGCACCCACCGAGGCCCTCAGTTGAGCTCCCTGGGGTGCAGGAAATGTGTGAGGAGCGTGCCGACACGGGTGGGACTGGCGCCAGGCGAACGCACCCACCTCGGCCGGATGGCGATGGGGGGATCAGGGCATGGGGGGATGAGTATGCGGTACCGTTTTGTTGGGGTACAATGTGTACCTTCTCTGCGGGTTGCAAGTACAAATTGTACCTTCTCCCCCCGTTAACATCCCCGCACATGTCGCGGACGTTGTCAAAAGTACAATTTGTACCTTGTCTGGGTGGCGTCGGTACAAATTATACCTTCCCCGTGGGGCGTAGGCACAATTTGTACCTCGGTTGCGCCTCTCTCCCCCCCTGGACTTACTTATCCCCCCAGTTGCATCCCGCCAACCACCGAGGCCTTCGGTGGAGCTCCCTGGGGGCAGGAAACGTGTCAGGAGAGGCCCGACCTGGGCGGGGCGGCCGTGCGAACGCTGCCGCTTGGGCCCTCGGCGAAGCTCCCTTGGGGCAGGAGATGTGCGAGTGGTGTGCTGGCATGGTTGGGGCGACGCCCGGCGAACGCATCCACTGTGGCCCTCGGAGGAGCTCCCTGGGGGGAGTGAAACGTGTGAGAGGTGTGCGGTCATGGGCGGGGCGACGCCATGCGAACGCACCCACTTGGGCCCTCGATGGAGCTCCCGGGGGGGGGGGGGGGGGCATGATACGCGTGAGGGGTGTGCCTGCATGGGCGGGGCGACGCCATGCGAACGCACACATTGAGGCCATCGGTAGAGCTCCCTCGGGGACATGAAATGCGTCAAATGTGTACCGACATCGGCGGGGCGACGCCCTGCGAACGCACCCACCGGGACCCTCGGTGGAGCTCCTTGGAGACTACGAAGCGCTTCAGGGATGAGCGGCGCGATGTCATGCGAACGCGCCTCTTGCGACCCTCGGTGGAGCTCCCTGGGGGGCAGGACATGTTTCAGGGCTGTGCCGAAATGGGCAGGTCCTCATGCGAACGCACCCGTTGAAATCCTCGGTGGAGCTCCCTGGGGGACTGGAATGTGTGAGGGCGGTGCCCGAATGGGCGGGGCGACGCCATCCCAGCGAACCCACTGATGTCCTCGGTGGAGCTCCTTGTGGGGCATGATACTAGTAAGGGGTGCGCTAAAGTGGACGTGCCGACGCCATGCGAACGCACCCACTGATGCCCTGGCTTGAGGTCCTGGGCAGGCATGATACGCGTGAGTGGTGCGCCGAAAAAGACGGGACGACGCCTTGCGAACGCACCAACTGAGGTTCTCGGTGGAGCTCCCTGGAGGGCAGGAAATGTATGAGGGGTGCGCCGAGATGGACGGGGCGACGCCATGCGAACGTACCCACTGAGGCCCTCGATGGAGCTCCCTGGGGGGCATGATACGCGTGATGGGTTTGCCGAAGCGGGCGGGGCGGCGCCATGTGAGCGCACCCATTGAGGCCTTCTGTGGAGCAGCCTGGGTGCAGGACATGTGACATGGGAGGGCGACGCCATGCGGGCGCACCCACAGAGGCCTTCGGTGGAGCTCCTTTGGGGGGAGGAAATGTGTGAGGGGTGTGCCGAAGTGGACGGGGCGACGCCATGCGATCGCATCCATTGTGGTCCTCGAAGGAACTTTCGCGGGGGCAAGGTACGTGTGAGTGGTGTGCCGAAATGGGCGGGGCGACGCCATGCCAATGCACCCATCGAGACTCTCCGTGGAGGTCCCAGGGGGTCACGGTACGCGTGAGGGGCGTGCGGAAATGGACGCGTTGACGCCATGCGAGCCATTGATGCCACTGTTGCTCTCGGTGGAGCTCCCTGGGGGGCAGGAAATGTTTGAGGGGTGCGCCGAAATCGGCGGGCGACGCCATGCGAACGCACCCACTGATGCCCTCGGTGGAGGTCCTTGTAGGGCATGATACGCGTAAGGGGTGTGCCGAATTGGACGGGGCGACGCCATGCGAACGCACCCGCTGAGGCCCTCCGTGGAGCTCCCTGGGGCAGGACATGTGACATGGGCGGGGCGACGCCAAGCAAACGCACCCACTGAGGCCCTCGGTGGAGGTCCCTGAGTGGCAGGAAATGTGTGAGGGGTGTGCCGAAATAGGCCGGGCGACGCCATGCGAGCGCACCCACTGAGGCCTTCGGTGGAGCTCCCTCTGGAGAGTGATACGCGTGATGGCTGTGCCGCAGTGGGCGTGGAGGAGAGGGGAAGGAGGAGGAGGATGAGGAGGGGTGGCGCTGCGGGTTCAAAACGAGGACCCAACACAAGAGAGGGTTGCCCACGTTGCGAAAAATGAACCCGGCGCGACCCCAGTTAGGGCAAAAAGCCTACTGCATGGGCGCTTCGTTGGGCGCATCGCTTGGAATTGCTTGGCATTGCTTGGCGTTGTTTTGCATGGGTTGGCATTGCTTGGCATTGCTTGGAACCCGAGGGACACAGGGAACCCGAGGAACCCGGAGAACCGAGGAACCCGGGGAACCCAAGGGACCCGGGGAACCCGGGGAACCCGGGGAACCCGAGGAGCCCGGGGAACCCGAGGACCCCGGGGAAACGGACAGCGTAACAAGAGGAGGCGCCGGGGGCGCGGAGGGGAGCCCGAGGAACCCGAGGAGCCTCCGAGCAACGGGCAAAGTGACCCCAGGAGGCACCAACCTTGAACCGAGTAAGAACCCCTCAGTCGCAGGCCTAGAGGTTGGCACCAACACCAAGATCGGCGGTGTGCCTCCACCGAGGGAGGACGGTCCCGATCTCGGTGATGGTGGTAATATTCTGGCTTCGAGGTGACCGACATATCACCACCAACACCGAAATCTAAGGCCATCTTCCCCATGGTGGAGGCGAACGCCCTGTGCTGCTGTTGGTGCCAATTTCCAGGCCTCCAACTCAGGCAAGCTTCCTTGGGGGGAAAGGGCACGACGTCGGGGGGGTCCCCAGACATGCGACGTCCTGATTTTTTCAGGACGGCGTGCCCAGAAGTCCTGGCCCTTTCCCCGGGGCCGGTTTCTCGTCCTGAGTCGTTTTTTGACGGTCCCGAGGCCCGGCGAGGGCCCCCCGAGGCCGAAAATAGGCAGAAACCTCCCGTCCTGATTTTTTTACGACGCGATCATGTCTGGGTCTGGAGCCCGCGCTGCACAGCGGGAGACCACCGACACCCCGAGACGCAGCCGCACTCCCGGCGCCTCGGAGCAGCCGTGCAGGGCCCCGCCGCGGCGCGCGCGCCCGCCCCCCCCCCGGCCGCCCGAGGCCAGGAGGGACCCCGCCCACCGGCCCAGGATAAGTTAGCCTCAGGCCAGGCGCGCGGTGGCGGTGGTCTGCTGCGGGGTCCTCTGCGGGCCCCGAGAGCCAGACATGATCGCGTCGTAAAAAAAAATCAGGACGGGAGGTTTCTGCCTATTTTCGGCCTCGGGGGGGCCCTCGCCGGGCCTCGGGACCGTCAAAAAACGACTCAGGACGAAAAACCGGCCCCGGGGAAAGGGCCGGGACTTCCGGGGACGCCGTCCTGAAAAAATCAGGACGTCGCATGTCTGGGGAAACCAGGGCCGCTGGACAGGCAGTCCAGAGGCGTCCGAGGCCAGATCTCAGATACACACTCGCACCGGGACGGTCCAGGAGCGTCCGAGGCCAGGTCTGACAGACACAGAGTGCACCGCCTGGGGGGCCGATGTCCCCGGCAGCCCGGGCGGCAGTGCGCATGGTGTTTCGCGGGCGCTGGCGGCGGGGGGGGGGGACAAAGATGCCCACCTCTGCTGCCTCTCGGGGTCCCGGGGCATGGGCTCCGCAGGCGGTGGATACCAAATTCAGACCTCTCGAAGCTGCGCTCAATCAGCCGCCGAACGGGCCGCCCAATAGTTTGGCAGCTGGCAGAGGTGTGAAATTGACTCTGTCAGCAGCCGGGCGGGCTCGATCCCAGGCTCGTTCGGCCTGATGAGCTTGGACGCTGGCCAAGGAAAGACTTGCGATATCACGGTGTTCATTGCCATTCGAAGCCGCCCTCCTACCCCCCTGGCACGCCTCCTGTCCTCCCACCCCCCCGCGGGGGGATCGAATCTTACCGTCGCCATGCCCGTGGCTGTCCTCAGGTCGAGGACGCGCTCCAGAGCGCATCGCTGACCCTGCTGAGCGCAAAGTGGGTGCTCAAGACGGCCGCGGAGGCCGAGGCCGTGCTAGCGCCTCGTCAGGCGCTACCAGACGACGCCTTCCTGTCTCTCAGCCAGGTGCAGGCCTCGTCCACCAACGGATTTGGGTACGTGCTGCATATCGCGTGCGTGTCGCACTGCTGGCTGCAGGCGCACCACCCGGACCCCCTCGGGCACAACCTGCGAGTGTTGGCCAAGAGCTTGAAGCTGCTGGTCCAGGACGCCGCGTACGGCGGGAGGTGGGCCGTGCTTTTCGACTTCTGCAGCATGCACCAGGCCTGCAGAGACTCTGCCGGGATCCCCCGTCATGAGGCGTACAGCTGGTTGGGAGTGGAGAACGCATACGAGCACGGTGCGGTCGGCCGCTTCGAGTCGGAGGAGGTGATGTTCGATAAGGCGCTGGGCCACCTCGGCACTTTCTTCTCGCACCCGTCGACGATAGTATTCATGCTCAGCGCCCTGCCATCAGACTTCACCGACACCAGAAAATACGCGCAGACGACCAACAGCAAGGCATACACCAGCAGAGGGTGGTGCTATTGCGAGGCGTCTTGGGCGACGCTTGTCAAGGAGCAGCACTCGGTCCTCGACGTCGGTAAGGACTCGGGCTCGTCCTCTTGGCTCGCGCTTGTCACGGAGTGCGCCACTATTCGCCGCGCTCCAGCTCTACCAACGACCTTCAAGGCGGAGCTGGAGCACAAACACTTCTCGAACAGTCAGGTAGATTTCGAGCGCGTTGCGAGACTCTACGCGGCTGGATTCAAGAGCCGGTTCGCCACTACGACCGCCTTGTCGTACCAGGGCTCGAGCTGGGACGACGAGGACGCGCACGCGCTGTCCCAGCTCCTGACCTCTGGCGCGGCGCCGAGGCTGCACAAGGTGGACCTCGCGGAGAATCGCATCTCCGATGCGGGGGCCATCGCGCTGGCAGATGCGATCGCATCCGGAGCGGCCCCTGAGCTCACGTCGCTCAACCTGAGCCGCAACGCCATAGGGGATGACGGCGCTGCAGCCCTGTCCCGTGCGCTCTGCTCCTGCGCCAGGCTGGCGCACCTGGACCTGAGCCACAACCACGTCGGGGACCAGGGCGCCCACGCGCTCATGGGCGAGATACGGAGGGACCCCGCGCAGAAGAAGCGCGTCTGGCTGACGGACAACCCCATCAGCAAGCACACGAAGACCGCCATGGGCGGCTGAGGGTGGGACCGCTCGCCTTCCGCAGGCTTCCAGGCTGTTGGCCGTGTGAGGCCCCTCTGCGCGCTTGCCGGGGGGCGGGGTGGCCGGCACTGGGAGGGGCAGGATGCGGGGCGCGTCTCACACAGTCTCACCCAATTGCCGAAGCACGCGGTCCCACGTCGAGGTGAAGTTCAAGCCGCCATGAGGGGGGTGGACCTGCTCTACGGTTGCGTGCCGCTCTCTCAACGTGTGTCCGCTGTACAGTGCGAAGCTCACGCTTACGTTGCCAGGGTCGATGCCAAAGGCTCTATCCAGAGCCCCAGCCGCTCCTGTGCGGTGTCCAGCTGCCTGCGGCAAGTTCTGCCACCGTGCCAGTGCAGCATTGTGCGTGCGCGGTTGAACGACAATGAGCTGCAAAAAGCAGCCCTGCACTGCACTCTGGCGGCTCAGACCTTGGAAGCCTCCACGTGCCTGCGGGCGAACCGCACTGCGCCGCATGACAACGCTCGGACAGCTGTAACATTTGATACCTCTCGCCTGTATTCCTTGAGGGGCTCTCGTTATACGGCCCACTTGGACCGTCTTGGGGCCGCCAGTGGGGACCTCTTGCGACCCTGGGCTTGCCCAGAGAGTATCGGGCGAGGGGGCGGTGCACGCGGGGGGGCATGGTAGGAGGGGGCGGCACTTGACTACCTACATCAGCTACCTGGGAGCCCTACCGGACTGCACTTGGCACGCTACCACGCCTCAACTTGCCAGGGGGCACAGTGGCGTAGCCAACGCGACGCTTGGATTCTTCTCTGCTGACGGAAGAGCGAGCACCGAGGAGAAAGATGGGAGGCAACGGGAGAGGAGGACGGGGAGGAGTCTGAGGATGAAGAGGGTGATGAGAGAAAAAGTGGAGGGAGACGGAAACGGAACACGAGCAGTCGCACTAGTTACTAGTTGGAGTAAGTCAACGAGGAGGGAGAGTCTCTGAGCGAGTGGACTCGGCTCGGATGGTCTCATCGATCCGATTGCCTATTTCGCCTTCGATCTCTACTGGACGCTACACGACAGATGATTGAAGCACGGTGCCGAAAATCATTGTTGATATTCAGATATGAACAGACCGTTCCTCAGAGCGTCCAGAAGTGTTCGGGAACGGCTGCGACGTCTGGTCATGCGGGCGGCGGCTGAGTATTCGAATCCCCCACCCTCCCCCGTGGCTCCTCTTTGTCAATGCTGGGGGGATGACTAATAAGCGCAGGCGGTGAACATACGCACACGCTTTCATCCGTCGCGCTCTTGCCCGGCTCGGCTCGCAATCTTGCCCTCGTCTTTGGTCCAGGCCGCCTCCTGCATGGGCGCTGGCCAGCGGCACGCTCTCGTCTTGGCTATTACATGTTTTGTCTCCCGCACCCTGCCGCACTCGGAAGGTCGCCCCCCTCCTCCTCTTCCCTCCTCATTCCACCTCCTCCTTCTCCTCTTCCTCCTCGTCCGTAGCCATTTTGGCTCAAGCCGTTTTGGCTCAAGTCGGCATTTTGGCTCACGCCGCGCCTCGCTGGGCCCGCCCGCGGCGCCGCTGATGCCTCCAACGGCGGACGACCGCCGCGGCGCCCTGGAGGCGGCGCGCGGCGCTCTCCTGGCGGCCCTCGAGGCGGCGCGCGGCGCTCTCCTGGCGCGCGGCGGCCTCGCGGCAGGCGCGTCTCGCTCGGGCGCGCGGCTGCTGCGCGCGGCCGAGGGCCTGCTGCGCGCCGCGGTCGCCGAGCTGGCGGCACCGCAGGCGCACCCTCCCCCCGCTGGCGCTGCTGCGCCTGCCGCGCCTCCTCGGAGGCGGCGCAGGCCTCGCGGCCGCAGGGGACGGCGTGGCGCTGAGGGCGACGCCGACGGGGCCAATGGCGGCGACGCGCGGCAGGACGAGGAGGGGCGGGGGGCGCTGGCGCGGCTACCCGCACGCCGCAGTGCGGGCCCCTGCGGGGTGCGGCGGCTGGCGGCGACGGCGCGGGAGGCGCGGGTTCCGGCGTGGACGTGGATCTGCTGGCTGGCGCCCTCCCCCTGCGCGACTCGGCGCCCGCGGCGCCTGGGCGCGCGTCGGCCGACGCTCCTCCAGTGCGGCAGCGGGCGGTGTCTGCGGAGCCAGCTCGCGGAGCTGTCGCCGCCATACCCTCGTCTGCCTCCGATCTCGACGATGAGTTCGCTGGCGAGCTCCGCGTCGCGGCCCCCTCGGCTGCCGCGGGCGCGGTGGCGTCGGTGGGCGGGGTGATGGCGGCCTCGGCGGTCAAGATCGGGCCGCACGGCGACTTCTGGGAGCTCGACGTGCGCGAGCGAGCACGGCGCGTGCTCGAAGGGGGGAGGCAAGCTCAGCGGCGACGGACGACCTCATTGAGAGCTGTCGGCGGCGGCAGGCGGCGTCGAGTGGTCCTCCGACGTCCTGGGCTGGGTAGGCCTTTTCCCTTCCTGGCGGAGGTGCTGCCGCCGCTGCTCCTCCGCGCCGTGGTCCTGGAGGTACTCTCCTCGGGGTTGTACTTCACGATCCACGGGGTGCTCTGCACGGTCGGGGGGTCCAGTTCTGGTCAGGTCCAGCGCTGGCCCCCCGCTGACGCTTGTGGTGCAGCGAGCCTGGGTGGTGGCGCCGACCACCTCGGCATGCGTCTCGGCTGGTTGATGCTTTTTATATAAAGAAAAAACCTCCTCCTCCTCCTCCTCCTTCTCCTCCTCCTCCTCCTCCTCCTCCTCCTCCTCCTCCTCCTCCTCCTCCTCCTCCTCCTCCTCCTCTTGCCTCCTCATCCTCCTCTTCCTCTTCCCTTCTCCCACCACCACCTCCTCCCTTCTATTCCTCCTCCCTTCCTCCTCTCCCTCCTCCTCCTCCTCCTCCTCCTCCTCCTCCTCCTCCTCCTCCTCCCCCTCCTCCCCCTTCTCTTCCTCTTGCCTCCTCCTCCTCCTCTTCCTCTTGCCTCCTCCTCCTCCTCTTCCTGTTCCTCCTCTTGCCTCCTCGTCCTCGTTCCTCCGCCTCCTCCTCCTCTCCGAAGCCATCGGGCTCAAGCCACCTGGGCTCGAGGTTTCACTCGCGCCCAGGCCCCGCCGCTGGACCCGTGATGGTGCTGGCTCGAGCGCCGTCGTCTCACTGCGGCCGCAAGGTGATGGTGAAGTGCAATTGCCTTGCGCGCGCACTGGCTCGACGCGTTCGCCTTATCCTTGTGGGTGCGCATCTGGGTGCCGATCTCCCTGAGCACGGCCGACCTCTTCGATCGCTCGTCTTCCTTCCAGCTGGGCCACGCTGACGCCGTCGTCATCTCCGACGAGCTGGTCGCCCACGCCTTCCTCGGGCATCCCGGCGGCGGATTGCCAGGCGCTTCCTGTGCGCATCGGCGGTGGTGTCCGCGAGGTTGCCAGGCCTCCCCCGCCGTCGCTGCTCCTGGCGACTGGCGCGCGGGCGATGGCAACGCTGCGCCCACCCAGGCGATTGTCCATGGAGCTGCAGGTGACCCAGTAGAGGGGGCACCAACTATACACCGACACCGATCCTGGCCAGGATCACCCTGGGCCCAGGATCGGGGTGTGTACGCCTTCCTGCCCAGGCATATACACCGATCCTGGGCCCAGGATTGGCCTGGCCAAGCCAAGATCGGTATAGGTGTATAGTTGGTGCCCCCCCACCCTGGAGTCCGCGATGGAGGGCGCGAGCGCTCGGGGCACCGACCGCCACGCGGAGACGGAGGAGAAACGCAGGGAGAGGAGGCGCCAGCCGCAGGAGACCCGGCGCGAGGAGGCCCCCCCAGCATCTCCACCGCCTGGGTTTTTTTTTGCCAGGACCCGTGCATCCGTGAGAAGAACTTCCTGGCGGCGCCAGGTGGGCCGACACCACAGAGGTCGAGGTGGAGTTCGTGCCCGTTGCCGCCACCTCATCCAGGGTCTCGAGTGCCTCGGGCACTTCCGAGGAAGGAAAGGAGGACGCCGCCGCCTTCGCCAGCGCCTGCTCCGCCACGGGCAAGCTAGTGAACGACCGCAGGGGGCGGACGCCGAGCGGAAGGAGAGTCGCAGGTCGAAGAGGCAGAGGCGCAAAGCTCGTGATCGTGAGCGCTGGCGATTTTCTGAAATGTTTGAGTTGGAGCCTGAATTGATTGCGCCAACGTCTGCTGGCAAAGGCCCTGTTGCCACCAACATCGGCATTCACCAGAAGAGCTCCGTGGGCCTGCTGGGCGCGCCGGTGGCGAGGCGCCAAATGAGCATGGAACGCAGCCTGGACATGAGGAAGTACCTCGCGAGAGTGCGGGAGTTCTGCACGATGAGGCTTCTCAGGATGGTAGTGTTCGCGAATGCGCTGGGGGGTCCAGCCATAGCGTGGGTGCAGCCTCAGAGGAAGTTCATCACAATGTCTTTGGCGTCATCGAGAATATGTCGGGTACTTTTCGGCTTGGGCGAGCTGGTAGTGCAGAGTTGGCTCACGGCGATGGTGGATGGCAAGATGACGAATTATCAGCTGCTGTCAGAGGCTTTCGGCGTCTTGAATGCCGTTGCGTCGCAATCGAAACCACGAGCGAGCCAATACGATTGTCGACGGCTTCTTCCTTTCTCTTTTCAGCAGGTGCACCTTCTTTTGTCGCGGCGCTGCAGGGCCAGCAGGTCATCAGTTACTAAGGCACCATCCAATTTTTTCCAGAGCCTGTACTCGCGCTGCCTCGCAGTCGTTGGTGCAGTCGTCCGCAGCAGCAGCAGCAGCAGCAGCAAACAAAATCCTCATTCTCCTCCTCCTCCTCCTCCTCCTCCTTTTCCTCCTCGGATCGCAAACACGTCCAGGCTCAACCAGATGGATCGATGACGCGCCCTGCTCCCGCTTGGCTCATGAGGACCTCCGATGAGTTGCCACCTCAGGGGGGGAGAGAAGAGGAGCCGAGGGAGGAAACGCGATGAACATGACCAGGATGTCACGGGATCTCGGTCATGGACCATGCTGGCCGCCGGCTAGCGAGGATGATCCTCAAATCGACGGTGGCCAAGATGGACGGTGACCAAGATCGGCACCGACGCTTCCCGCGTTCAGTCTTGATCATTGCCCCCCGTTCGTTCCCCCACCAAAGACCCTGGCATCTGCCGATCTGATTTGTCTAATCCGCGGCCCCAGATGTCCCGACCCATTTTCGGGGGGGGGGTAGCTTTATCGCCCCAAGACCATTCTTGATTGCCCTGGGGCCCGATGACGACGCTCCTCAGAGGCCCAAATCGAGGCACAACTTCCAAACTGAAAACGCAATATCGTCAGAGGCCTGGAGAATCAGAACGGCACGATGGAACCAACTTGGTCTGGAGCTGTGAATGCGCTGTTCGTTCAACTGCCTGGCTTCAGAACGTGTCGGACGACTTTTAAATTCGAGCTTCGGCGGTTCCGTATGGCGCGACGAACGTACATGCATGCACGCTTGCAGCAAATCGTGCGACAATGTGTTCTAAATCATGAGCTGCATGGCGTGGCAACGATGCCCCGGACAAGGGCGAGAGGGGGAGCCGGGGGACAGGGGGGGAAATGGGCCGAGAGGGCAGGGCGCGGTGGGCCAGAGGAGAACGGGTGTGGGGGGTGCCTCCGCTGGGCCGCCCGGGGGCGGAGAGGCAAGAGCTGGACCAGCTCGGCACCGCCGTGCGCGAGAGCTTCCGCGTCACCCTGGACGACCTGCTGCCAAAGGTCCCCTCGGGGTTCCGCGCCGCCGTCGAAGGCGGCGACGACGCTGGCCCAGACCTTCAGCGCGCGGACAAACAGCGAGACAGAAATGTTTTCCGCCACTTTCGGCCTCCAGGGCAGGGGTCCACAAGTGAACCCCACCCTCCCCTCAAAAATCGTGGGGGGTAGGGTAGGGTAGGGGGCCACATGCGAACCCTACCCCTACCCCCCACGATTTCTGAGGGGGGGGGGTCACTTCGTTCGGGAGCTCCCGAGCGAAGTGAACCCCACCCTCCCCCTCAGAAATCGTGGGGGGTAGGGGTACGGTTCGCATGTGGCCCCCTATAGGGTTCACATGTGGCCCCCTCCAGGGGCCCTCGCTTGGCGCCGGGACCGTCAGAAAAGGGCGCGGCGTGAAGAGCAGAGGCCCCTGGGGCAGGGTCGGAATTGTGGCGTCGCGCAGTGGGGGGGCGACAAAGGAGGGGGCAGCGAGAGCTGCAGGAGAGGAGGAGGAGAGAGAGGAGGGAGGAGGGAGAGGGAGGAGGGGAGGAGGAGAGAGAGGGAGAGGAGGGAGGAGGGAGGAGGGGAGGGGGGGGGGGGGAGGGGGGAGGGGGAAGGGGGGAGGAGGGAGGAGGGGGGGGGGAGGAGGGAGGAGGAGAGGCTCCTTCGGGCCCCGAGTTGGGCCCTCCAGGCTCCCAAAGCGGGCCTTTGGGGGGCCCGGGGAGTGCACCTTCCCCGAGCTCCCAGGGAACCAGAGAGTTGAACGTGACGGAGACTTCGGATCCATGGGGGCGTGGGCGCCCCAGGGTGTGGGAGCTCTCCGGTGGGCCCTGTGGCGGGCACGTGTGCTGACGGTGGCTGGCTAGCTGCGGCAAGTGTCCCGCCACCGTGCTAGCCCGTGGCGGCTGTTCGAGGGAGCACAGGGGGGCTATCACGCGTTGCACCTTTAGCTGCCTCGATACTTCTTGTTCTAAAATGCAGCGCGTGCCGTGCTTAAAACGTCCGTGTCAATACGTTGTGTGTTGGCTCAGCGTGTTGGCCCACGTTTTGGGGAACGTATCGCGCCATACTTTCAGATCAGATTCGGTCTGCGCGCTGAGCTCCGTATCAAGTCGCTGCGTGTTGCGTGTTGCGTGTTGGGGCAGCTAGGTGGCACCTCGTGCCCCTGGGAGGGCCCTGGTGAGGATGACGACGAGGAGGAGCATGAGGAGGAGGAGGAGGAGGAGGAGGAGGAGGAGGAGGAGGAGGAGGAGCAGGAGGAGGCCGGGGAAGACCGTCACAGGGGGCACGGTTTCGCTTTCCCTTCTTGAGGAGCTCTCGAGGAGCTCGCTTGGGCCGTCTTGGGGACGTGTCGGGCTCCTGCTGGGCAGCCTTGGGAGTCCCTTGGGGCCGTCTGGGGGCCCTCATGGGCCGTCTGGGGGCCCTTTAGGGAGATTTTGGGCTGTCTTGTGCCCTCTTGGCCATTTGGGGTTGTGTTTGGGGCCGTCGTGGGACCAGCCTGGCGCCGTCTTTTTGCAGTCGCAGGGCCTTCTCAGGGCGTCGTGGGTCTCTATGGAGGCCCTCTTGGGTCGTCCTGGAGGCCCCTTGGGCCATCATGGGGTCCTCTCGGGCCGTCTTGGGATCCTCTTGGGCCGTCTTGTGGCCATCTTGAAGGCTGCATTTGTCGCTTGAGCTGACGGACGTCCGAGGAGGCGAGCATTCGAAAATCCTTGCAAGACGTTATCATCATACCTGATTTTGGCCTCGGCCTCTTCGGGTCCTACTGAAGGTCCTGTGGTCGTCCTCGTGGGCCATCTTGAGGCCAATTTGGGCCGCCTTGGGGCCATCGTGAGCAGTCTTGGAAGCATAGTGGACCATCTTGGCGACCTATGTTGCCTGCATCGGCCCTCTTGGACGCTCGGGAGCGCGGATCCATCGTTTTGTGTTGAGCTATCGTTTTTCTCGGGATCGCGGATCCATCATTGTTCCGTCGGCTTGAGTTTCCGAGTAGAGGGTTCGAGTGGAGTCGAACAGGGAACCACACAAGACCCACGGGGGTTGGGAGCCCCAGGACGCCGTTCTCAGATGGCCGTTTCTTTTGAAATTCCTTTACGCGATTTCTCCAGGAATCGTGCCCTCGCCTGGGTGCATGCCACATGTGTTGTCCGGACGGCCAAGAGCCCTGCACACTAGCCTGACCAGTCCAGCCTTCCAGGTCACGAACGTGCGGCAGGGCCATCAGATTCTCACTATGTCAGCTCTCCTGGGTCACCGACTTGTCGGAACGTGTGGCAGGGCAGTCGGATTCACCACTTCAGCCATCCCACGTCACGAACGTGTGGCAGGACCATCGGGTTCCCACGGTTTCAGCTCCCCAGAAAAGGAATGTGCGGCAGTGGAACGTGGGAGGGCCATGGGTTGCCCTCCATGTCAGTTCTCCCAGGTCACGAACGTGCGGCAGGACCATTGGATTCGAACGTGTGGTAGGTCCAACGGGTTTTTGCCATTCCAGCTTTCCCAGGTCACGAACGTGGGGCAAGGCCATCGGATTCTGAATTTTGCAGACTTCCCAGGTCACGGAGGTGTGGAAGGGCCATCGGGTTCTCACCAATTTACTCTTCCCAGGTCACGATCGTGTTGCAGGGCAGTCGGCCTCTCACAATTTCGGCTGTCCCAGGTCACGAACGTGTGGCAGGGCCATCGGCTGAACTTCACAGACTTCCCAGGTCACGAACGTGTGGCAGGGCCACTGGGTTCTTACCATTTCATTCCTGTTAGGTCACGAACGTGTGGCAGGGCAGTCGGATTCTCACCGCTCCAGTTTTCCCAGGTCACGGATGTGTGTCAGGGGTATGAGCTTGTCACCATTCCAGCCGCAGGATACGTGTGGCAAGGCCAAAGGGTTCTCACCATGTCAGCTTTCCCATGTCACGAACGTGTAGCCAGACCACGGTTTTGTTCCACAGGGGGGGGGGCGGGCCCCCCTCGCAAGCAGGGTGGCTGAGGCATCGAGAGGAAGCGGAGGTCTTCGTGTTCCTAGAACTCAATTCCCGCGCACGCTTTCTACGCAACAGCGAGCATCCTATCGCACTTCGGGCGTTGCTTGCTTTTTCGTGGGAATACCTAGGAGTGCACGTTGTGACTTGCCTCGTCACCTAGCTCGGGATCGTGGCCTCGGAAGAGGTGGGGTGCATGCGCGTGTCTGCGGGTAGACCATGTCGTCAAGGCAGGAACTTGTCGCAGCGAGCAGCGAGGATCAGAGGACATATGCCTTAGCCAACCCTGAAATGATTTCGGATTACCCCGTGTTTGGTTGGGCAGTCTCTATTCGAGAGGAGCTCCGCCAAACCCAGACCGTCTTTCCTCGTCTTTGGTCTGGTCAGCCCTCCTCCCCGACTCCCTTCCGAGGAGGTGGGAGGAGCGAGAAGGGCGAGGAGGAGGAGGAGGAGGAGGAGGAGCGTGATTGAGAGGAGGACGACGCGTGAGCAGAGAACGAGGAGGAAGAGAAGGACGACAGCGAGGACGAGGAAGGGCGAGGAGGAGGAGGAGGAGGAGGAGGAGGAGGAGGAGGAGGGAGTCGACGAGGACGCGACGAGGAGTCATTGGGGCGCACGGGTGGAGCCTCGGCCCCACCGGCGCGGCGGGCGCTCGCACCTCGGAGCCTCCCCCCGCAGGTCAGGGCCGACTCCGGCGCAGCCACCTTCACCCCCTTCAATCCAGGCGCGCTGCCGGTGTCGGGAGGCGGCTCGGCCGCCGACGGGGCGAGGCCGGGGGGCCTGGGGACCCAGACCCCCTCGAGTAATAAAGAAACCTGTGACGGGAGGCTTTTAGTAATTTTTGGCCTCTGGGGGCCCTTACCGGCCCAGGGGACCGTCAAAAAACGATTCAGGACGAAAAGCCGGTCCCGGGGAATGGGTCCAGACAGCTGGGGGTCGACGTCATGAAGAATTCACGACGTCGGGGGTCTGGGGAGGGAGACCCGCCCAGACCCCCCCCTCTCGTCGTCAACAGAAGCACGACGGAGGGTTTTCGACGACGTTCGGCCTCCCGGGGCCCTCACCCGGCCCCACGGACCGTCAAAGCACGACTCGGGATGAGAAGCCGGTCCCCTGCCAGGGGTCTAGACCTCTGGCTTGGCATCGCCCGGACGTGTGCATTTGTTCTCGGCGAGAAACATCGAGGACCATCCTGGACCATCGGGCAAAAAAGACACGCACGCAACCGAAAAATGCACGGGAAATGGATGTCCGAGCGGCGGCAAGCTCGGGGCCCACGTGAGGAACGAGATGCGGCAGCGGAGGTCTGGGCAGGCTGCAGGCCTCCCGGCGTCGCGAGGAGAAAGTCGGCCGTGCGCGGCGCGGGGGGCCCAGAACGGCGCGGTGGCCACGCCAAGTGGTGAGTCACGGTGGGGGCTCGGGGTGACCGCACTGTATCGGGGACTTGGGTCGCTCTCTCAGGAGATCTACGGCCACTGGGGCCTCCAGGGTCCCCACACCGAGGTCGTGGGGGATCCCGAGGTCACCGCAGGGTCTGTCGCCGCATCGCTTTCGGAACCCCAAGTGGCGTCTGCTCGCGCGTTTGGGCCTCCCGGGGCTGATTTCGGGACCCCCCGAGGCTGTCAGAGAGCGAGCGGCCGCGAGGATGAGCCAGTCCCGGGTCTGGGGTCGAACTGTTTTGGGGCTGATGCATTGAACCGACTGTAGGCTTGAGAGAGGAACCTCTTGTAAGGAGGGGGTATTTCCAGGAGGGGGGAAGATCACACCTCTTGCGTTCGCCCCTTCTCCCTCCCCCCCCCTCCTCCGCCATCCCCGCTCCCTCCCTCCCCAACCCCTCTCTGCTTCTGCGCCCCTGCCCTGGTCATCCTCCCCTCCTCCCCATCTCCATGCTCACCATCTTCCCGCTTTCGGGCCGAATCTCTGCACGGACGAAATGGGTACGGAAAGAATGGGTACAAAGCCCAACAGCAGTTCCTGTTCATTTTGAACAGGACTCGCTGTCCGCGCCGCCGCGGCCTGTGTCCATTTGAGACAGAAGGCCGCCTGCCCAACAGCGGCCGCTGTCGGTTTCGGACAGCATTTGTTGTTGGGCATTGTACCACTTATTTCCGTGCCCATTTCGGGCGTCCAAAGAATCTTCTCATTCGGGAGCCGGGACGCCGGGCGATGATCGGAGACGTCGTGATGCCACGGGGCCTTCAGCCACCCACACAATATCGTTCTCGTTCTGCAGGGCGCGAAGCACCGAGAGCGCGAGCGCGGTGGTTCGGTCTTCACGGCGTGTTGCGTCGTTTGGCGCGGGCGTATGTTTCAGACGTTGGCTCATCACCGATACGAAGATGCACTTGTCATGAGCGGCTACGGTCCAGGTGCTGCGCTGTGTTCAGAGGCATGCGTTTCTGTGCACGCAGGCATACATGTGTTTGGGTTAGCGGGCGCTAGAGGAGCAGACGGCGGTCGAGCAGTGGCGAGGCGCGCCGGAGCACAGAAGTACACATATATACATATATATATATATATACAAGACTGCAGTGGCGCTTCGCGCCACGCACCTTGGTCCTTGAAGTTTGGTATGCAGGCGGAAATGGCAGGAAGGTCCTTGCTGCCTTTTCTGGCATCGCCGTTATAATACTGTTGATAATTGTCCTCCCTCCATGCTTATTTTTCGTCATTCTCGCCATACCCTGGGCATGCTCCCCGTCCTCCTCCGCTCTTTTTGCGGAGGCTCTTCCTTGGAGAACCTCTGGGGGCCTCACCAAAGTTCTCAAGCTTTCTTAAAGCATTCTGGAGGCCTCCTGGGCGTGTTCTGGGAGCCTCTGGGGCTTCCTCAGGCCAACCTGCCTCTAACCGCGGTCTCCCTGAACGCCCCGGTCACGATTTGGAATGCTTCGGAGGGTGTCTTGGGTTGTCCCTCTTGGGGCCTTCTTGGGGGTGCTCTTAGAGGCCTCTTGGAACGTTTTGGGGCGATCTTTGGGGGTATGACGGCTTCTTGGAGCGCTCTTGTGTTGTCTTGGGGGTCTCTGGGACGTCTCCGAGGACCCCCCTGATCGCCCCAGGTGTGCTGCGAAGGCTTGGCAAAAGGCCCTGCGAGGCCCGGGGGGCCGCTTCGAGGCCAGCTCGGAAGGTCCCAAAGCCCCAGATCTCGGGAGTCTGGTTTCGGGGGGGGGGGGGGGACGGGTTTTCCCCCCGCCTGGGCTTATAAAAATATAAGAAGAGGAATATATATATATATATATACACACAAACAAGATTTGTGGGCTCGTTTCGCTTTGCCTCAACATTGCTCATGCGCCCATGCGTTCCCAACCACTCGGTGAATCGGTAATTGGTGCAAGCAAATGATGACCAAACGGGGGGGCACGGTCATCACACCCGCACGGGCCACAGGCATTTCTTGTGCTGGGGGGAGAGGGCATCGGTGCGACGGGGCCAAATTCACGCATGCGACATGGGAAGGAGTGTGACCGCGAAAAGGGCTTGCGGCCATGACGTTCAAGGAGCAATGCCATGAGCGTCAAGGGAGTAGACACAGAAACGAAGCACCCGCTGCTAGGCTGCTAGGACGGCGAGGAAGAAGACGAAGAAGAGGAGAAGGAGGACGAGAACGACGAGGAGGACGGGCACAACGAGACAGACGGTCCCTCAGTCCTCAGAAAGGTGCATTTCCACGAGGTTGGTGAAGGCCACGATTTCGAAAAGTCGATATCAATGCGTGCGAGTGGGTCATCCACCTCCTCCTGGTCCCCCCCCTCCTCCTCCTCCTCCTCCTCCTCCTCCTCCTCCTCCTCCTCCTCCTCGTCCTCCTCCTCCTCCTCCTCCTCCTCCTCCTCCTCCTCCTCCTCACGTCTCCTCCTCCTCCTCCTCCTCCTCCTCCTCCGACCGCGGGCATTTGGGGGCGGGGATTGGATGCGAGAGGTCGTCGGAGAGGGGCACGGGTCGGTGCGACGAGGGAGGCGACCCTGATGACCGCGGTCGGAGGAGGAGGCCGGTCCTCCTCCTCCTCCGACCGCGGAGAGTCGTCGGAGAGGGGCATCGGTCGGCGCGGCGAGGGGGCGACGCTGATGACCGCGAGGGGGGTGAAGATCATCGCTCGGGGAAGGGGTGGCGGGCCCCACCCTGACTCCAGATCCGCCCTACTTTAGTTTTTTTCCCACTTAAATTGCGTCGGAAATCCACCTATAAGGAGCCGAACAAGTAGGGCGGAAGTTTCTGCACCCAACATAAAATGGGGCGAACATCCACAGAAGTAGGGCGGAAACAACAACAGAAAAGTAGGGCGGAAATTGGCATCAGCGGGGCTTGAAAAGTAAGGCGGAAATTCCAAGCCCTACTTACGAATTTCCCCAAAGTAGGGCGGATCCGGAGTCAGGGAAGATCATCGCTCGGGGAAGGGGTGGCGGGCCCCATCGCGAGAGGAGGGGCGCGCAATGAAGCGTTCTCTGTCGTGGTGGAAGCGGGCTTATGCGCCGTCCACAGGGCCTCCGGGAAGCTTCCGGGGCGTTCTGAGGAGCCGCGCGCGCCAAATCTTAATCCATCAGCAGGCTTGAGAGAAATTTTGATGTGTGCGTCTCGCGGCCATCTTGGTCATTTCGTGGACGGAAAGATGATCGATCTGACTCATGGTCGCACGTTTTGGAGGTGGTTCGGGTGTTGTTTGTGCGCCTTTTTATAAGTAGTGTCTCAGGTTCGACTGGGCTGTAGGGGGGCTTGGCGTTCGTGGCGCCGAATGGCCTACAGTTGGTTGATGGCGATGGGGCGAACATGGGAGACGATGGCGAAGTAGGAGGTGGAACAGAAGATGCAGAGCAGGAAGCGAGTGAGGAGGATGAGCAGCAGCCGACTGATGTTGTGGGCGTTGTTTAGACCCTTTTGGGGAGGGTCTCAGACTTGAGAGGGCTCTAGGCGGCCTTGGCGTTCACGGCGCCGATTGGCGTGCAGCTGGTCGAAGCAAGTCGAAATCAGCTGTCTCGGGGGGTAACAGCGGCGGCCGCCCAATGAAGTGGGGGCACGAGGGGGGTCGTGGTCATGCCGTATGGGCCGTCGTGCCGCTATGGCGGCGCACCCGTGACGTTCATCGCGAGTTCGGGGTCCTGGGTGCCGGTCGGGGCCTCGCGGCGTGTTTCCGTGGGGCCGTGGAAGCCTTGCATGGCCCAGAAATCGGGAGCCGTTGGAAGCCTTTTTTTCTGGGGGCGCTGTGGAGGACGTACACGCGAGACCTCCTATGCGCTTCTGCGGGCCCTGTTGGGAAGCTTTCTGGGGGCCGTTTGGGAGCATTTGGGGAGTTTCTGGTGGCCTCTTGGGCCTTCTCGGATATCCTTTTGGGGCTCTTTCGGGCCGGCTGGGGGCCGTACTGGGGCCCTCTTGGGCCGTCTTGGGTGGCTTGGACTCTTTTGGGGCCTTCTTGGGCCGTCGACGGGGCCTTCTATAGCCCTCGTGGGGCACCCTTGGGACCCTTTTGGGGCCCTCCTGGGCCTGTTTTTGAGCCGTCTCTGTGCTCTCTTGGACCGTCTTGGAGCTATCTTGGGCCGTATCGGGGGCGTCTCGGGGGCCTCTTGAAGTTTTTTGGGGCGATCTTGGGGCCTCTTGTGCAGTCTTGGACGTTGTTAGGACAGAAGAAGCGAAGATATTACAAATTTGCGTTTCCCGAGAGAACTGCGACGATTCGTGCCTTTAGTGGGTCCTCTGGGGGGCCTTTTGGGCCGTCTTGAGGGCCTCAGAAGCTGTTTTGGGCCCTCCTGGAGGGCTGTTGGGCGATTTGGGAGATATCTTGGGACGCCTTGGGAGCCTCTTGGGCCAGCTTGGGGGTCTTTTGGTCCAGTGAGGGGGGCAGAGAGACCGATGCGCCGATGCATACACACATTCGGCGGCCCGCGCGGAGAAGATCACCACCCGTTTCTTTACTTATCCTCCGCTTTTCCTCCGCCACTACGTTTCCTAATCGTTTTGTGGGTGGTTGTCAGGGAACCGCCCGACTGCGTGGAATGCGCGATCGACGCGAAACGTGCCCCTAGATGCCGATGGGAAGGGGCACGGGCATCCTTCGGCACTTCTAAAATGACACCGCCGATGGGAGAATACCAACATGGGTGTTGGACAGGTGAGTAGCAGCATGTGTTGGCATCCTCTCTCGTATCACTAGTTGTTTTCAGCAAGTATTGAGAATCTTCCTGGTCGCGCGATAGCTCGAGTTCTGGAAACAATGTGTCGCGCATCTCGGTATGATCCGTCCCACATGCGACCCCCCCCCCGATGTCGGTGGTGGTGTTGGCAACGTGTAGGCCGCCTAAATAGGACGTTCTAGCAAGTGCAGCGCTGTCGAGGGGTCGGTGGGGCTGGTGCCATCTGATCGGCGGAGACTGGCGGGCCCCCGACGGAAGCGAGACGGAAGCGGCTCTGCCAGCAGAAGCCGGCGGAACTTCGCGGAAGCAGCGGGTCCCCTCATCTCGGCGGATCAGGGGAACAAAAAGTGACATAACCATAAAAATTCGGAGGTCCGCGCGGATTTCTCGGATCGGCGCTGGACCCTGCTCCCTGGCGCGCGGAGCGCGCCAGGGGCGGCGCTGGAGGCGCCGCAGGGGGGCCCCAGCGCCGATCCGAGAAATCCGCGCGGACCTCCGAGTTTTTATGTTTATGCCACTTTTTGTTTCCCTACTCATCTCGGCGGATGCACGTGTTTGGGGATTCAGGTTTCCAGTGATCAGTTCCAGCACTGAGATCGAGCATCGGTAGTCCTGGTTGCAGTGACGGTGCGCGTGCCTCCCGGGGCTCCAGGGCGAGCTGCGACGTCTTGTTCCCCCCCATCCCTCCCCTTCCCCTCCCCCTCCCCGTCCTCCTCTTTGGCACAGGGGTTCCTTTTGCGCTAAGAGAGCATGCCTCCATGGGTGCAGACTGAGCAGACACGCGGGGCCCAATGCAGTCCACTTCACTTGTCGACTACTGAACGGGTATGCTGCTTTGTTTCTCGGGCCCAGGGAGGGCCAGGTTATGATGCGGGAGCGTCCAGGAGGGCGGTGACGACCTCCCAGAATGAATGGCCCGTGCCTATTCTTTCGGCGCATCCCCTGGCCCTCACTCGTCGGCGCACCTGCCTCGGATCACAATGCGCAGCCCCGCCTCTTCCTGCACTGCACTCCCTCTTTGGGGCGCACCCGAGAGCGTGGGCCCCTGGAACCCAGGCCAGAACGCGGGAAAAATACTGCCGCCCAGTCATTGGGGCCTCCAGAGGCTTCCCCCGGCGTGAGGCGAGGACCTCGGGGGGCTGCCGTTGGCAGTTCGGGAGCCGAGCCGGCAGGCAGAGGGGCCAAGCGACGCGCAGAGCGACACGGAGCCGCGTCTCCTCCGCCCGAGGTCTCATCCCGAGGGGCCTCAAGGAATGTGGCAGGAAGGGTCCTGAAGAAGGAACCCTTTTGGTTGGGGAGGGGCTCCGCGTTCCTTAAGTGTTTCACAGCTTGTCCTTATGTTTTCGATAGGAAATCGAAGTTTAACTTATGGAAAAAAGGGGCCTCGTTCCTTATGTAGGGTTCCTTAGGTCAACGCCCCGACTGTAGCAGGAAGGGTTCAGCAAGACTTGTTTTCACCGTTTGACGCGCGGTGCTTAACACATGCAACGCTAGCAATCCACCACCTATCCCAATCTCTACGCCTTTGTACACAGGATGCTGTGCAGCCGTCGTACAAGGGAAACGCCGGAGTTGCACCAGCTCAGGCCTCACAATTTCTTGCATTGCGTGCCCTTATGGGCGGCACTTACGGCGCCGCCCTTGGCTCGCTCCGTGCGCCTGGGAGGGGCCCAGCGCAGATCCACTGAATCCGCGCGGACTTTCGAAAGTTTAGTTTTGTGCAGCGTTCTATTATGATACTCGAGGTGAGGGCTCGGCGCGGGTTAGGCGGATGCTTTCCTGCTGCGCCTACAACCCTCGTCAAACTTAACCTCAAAAATGTCTGACGTGGTTGAATTGCTTGTCGGAAGATCTGGGGCCGAGTATCGATGAGTGCGGGGTACTTGCATGCGCCGCCCCTCCAATGTCGGTCGACGTCAAACTTTCGAGTCAACTTCGGTCAGACTACCTTTGCCCTCGCCCCGACATTGAAGGGGCGGTGTGTCGACATTGAGGGGCGCGCCGAAATCGAAACGACGTGCCAGCAATTTTTGAGGTTCATTTTGACGAGGGTAGTAGGCCAGCCTTGGAATTCGGGGGCGGGGGCGCGCAAGGGTGCGCGCTGCTCCCTCGAAATCCTCGGTCATCCATCCTCGAGCCTCGAGGGTCGAGCAGGAGTGGCGTCCGGACGTTGGCGGGCCCAGCGGTCCCTTGGGGAGGCCTGCTGGCCACCCCGCTCCGCGGCGCGCTCCTGCGAGGGAGCCCCCCCCCCCCCGGCTGGCGGAGGGCAGCTCAGAGGAGGGCAAGTAGAGACTGCAGCGGTTGGCCTTCGGAGGGGGGGCCCTCGTCGCCACGGCTGGACGCAGCTCGGACCACTGGCACGTTTGGACCCTGGGACGGGTCCCGGGACCGATGTTGAGCCGTTGTTGTCTCAACTCGCCCTGCTCCGAGGGGGGCTGGCGCTGCCGCCGCCAGGCGGTGCTTCTGGCCTCAAGGACCTGAGCCTCAAGAGCGACGGCACCTCGGGGTCTCAGCCTCCGCACCCGCCTCAGCCGATCCTAAGAAGGCACGTATATGCACCACCACCCTGCCTGGCCAGGGGCATCCTGCGGCGGTTCCAAGATCGGGCCTTGAGGGATGGGGCCCTAAGGATAGGAAAGGGATGCCAAGCTGAACCTTCACTGTTCAAGACCACTCGTCCTCAAGGCCTCGTCCCTCAGGACCCCATCCTTGAATCTCCGAGCGCTCGGCCCTCAGGATGGTGCATAAACCCTCGTGGACTCGGCAAGGGCGGCGTAAACACCATGCGAGGGCCCTGGATGACCTTGGCCAGGCATGGCGTCGTCGTGTGTGTAGCCGAGCGCCCGCGGGGCTGGGAGATGGTGCGTGTTAGCCCTGCGTCTCGGCTCGAGGGCCGCTGCCTTTTCATCTCGGGCGTCCACAGATGAGGGGTCTTCCTGAGGCGAAGCGGTCCCGACGTTTCTCTCCGATTGCGGTTTCCTGGGACCTTTCGTGGGCCTTGGGGACGCTAGAAAGCAAATTGGGATGAAACACCGGTCCCTGGGAACGCTCTGGAATCCAGAACCTGCTTCCTTCAGGGCCCCTCGCTTCATGGAAAGGAAGAGGAGCAGCAGGTGGACGAGGAGGAAGAAATGGACCGAGTCATCGAATCGAACGAGTTGCGGCCACAGTGGCTCAGAACCCAGCTCAACGTCTTGCGCTTCCTCCTCATATTTGTGCCCCTTCTTGCGTGGAATGATCCCAATCCACGCACGGCGTATTGAAGTGCTCCGCAGCGCACTGGCGCTACATGGTGCCTAGCCTTGCCAGGGTTGGAGTGAGACGGAGGAGCCCTTCGGCACCGAGGATCATGGAGTGCTTCTCGCGTAGAGGACCAGTCAGGTTTGCAAGCGAGCGAGCGAAACAAACTCGCGAAACTGAATGTTCATGGCAGGATCGCGAATGCGTTGCACTCACGATATGCTCCAAACGTGAATATGCGTGCGTTCACGTCGTCGTGTACTCAGTGGATCAGCGTGTGCGTTCAACACACCGCTCCTGGTGTTCACGTAGCGCAGGGCTGTGGCGAAGCACAACGTGTCCACGAGCGGACCGTACAGATCGATGGGGCGTCTGGAGCTGCAAGTTTGGTGTACACGTGAGTCCTGAGATTCGAGTAAATGTGAGTTACAGCGAAGAGAGGGTCGATGCGAGACACATGTTCGCTACTGATAAAGGGCAGAATCGCATTGATAAGGTATCGGAACAGCCGATCTGCACATTTGCAGGAATGTTCGGTCGATGCACTTCTCTATGGGACGCCCAGGCGACCATCGAGTGGGGCCTGTGAGCCAGTCAAGCTCGCGGAAAATGATTTTCGGGTTGCGCATGAAATTGTTGATCGGGTTCCCAAGTATGTCTACTTGCTTGCCTGTTTGGCTTCAGATGGGCCTCGGGAAGGATCCGACGCTGCCCACGCAGCCTCGAGAGACCGAATCGGGCCCAACACATAGTCTCCAGGGCTTCCAAGAAAGCACGAAGAGTCGAGGGGCCCGAGAGGGACCTCCAAACCATCTGACATCGAGGCCCGGCCCAGCAGCATTCATAACGGCCGCAAGATGACCCTAAAGCCTCTCAGAGGGCCCAGGGGAGCCACAGTGGCTTCCAAGAGTCCCCTATCGATGTTTGCCTGTCCCGGTCAGTCAGTCAGTCAAGCAGCCATACGCTGGAGCGCGTGGGCGAAAAGAGGCGATGCCAGCCTTTCTTTTCCGCTTGGCAGGAGCAGCCACACGCCAACCGATTTTGCAGTTACACATTGGAAGAAAGTGACAGCGGGGAAGAGTGGGAAAGGGCGGCATCTGGCATTCACAAGGTTTGTGTACAGTCGGACCGAGGTACAAGATCGAGGTCGATTCGGGGAGGGCACCCTGGTGTTCTTCGTGTTTGTCGGATGTTATCGTGCATCCTGGGGCGGGTACCCTCAGGTGTTCAATGTGTCTTGGCCGACGGAGGGTCTCCTGAGGGATGTTCTTCTGGCCCAGGTCCGACTGTTTACGTGCGGACCGAGGAGGGGAGCCTAAGAGGGGGGCGTCCAGGAGAAGGAGGAGGAGACAGGAGGGGAAGGAGGAAGGAGGAGGAGGAGGAGGAGGAGGCGGAGGAGGAGGAGGAGGAGGAGAGGAGCGGGGAGGAGGAGGAGGAGGAGGAGGAGGAGGAGGAGGAGGATGAGGGAGGAGGAGGAGGAGGAGTAGGAGGAGGAGGAGGAGGAAGGAGAGGAGGAGGAGAAGAGGAGGGAGTGAGGAGGAGGAGAGGAGGAGAGGAGGAGGAGGAGGAGGAGGAGGAGGAGGAGGAGGAGGAGGAGGAGGAGGAGGAGGAGGAGGAGGAGGAGGAGGAGGAAGAGGAGGCTTTCCGCCAGGGCCCTCGGCGCACGATGTCGGATGCGGGGGCCACCGCCGGAACGGGCAGCCCATCCCCCGGCGCTCCCTCCGGGGCGCGGCGCGCAGCCTCCCCAAGGGCTCGATCGCCAGCTTCCCGCTCACCGCACGAGGGAAGCGGGAAAGCGCGGCCGACCACGACGTCGACGGCGACGGCGACGGCGACGACGACGACGACGGCGACGACGGCGACGACGACGACGGCGACGGCGACGGCGGCGGCGGCGACCACGACGACGACGACGACCACGACGATCACGACCACGACGACGACTGCGCGGACAGTTCGCGCGCGAGCCGCCCCTGCGAGGTCGCGCGCAGGCCGCAGGCCCTCTCCCCTCTCGGCGCAGCGCGCCGCGCTGGTGACCCCGCGGGCCGCGGGCCGTCGGCCAGATCGCCGCGTCGCCGTGCGCAAGATCCCTCCCCAGCCCTGACTCCAGATCCGCCCTACTTTGGCTTTTTTTCCAACTTAAAATTGCGTCGGAAATCCACCTATGAGAGGCCGAAAAAGTAGGGCGGAAATTTCTGCACCCAACATAAAGTAGGGCGGAAATCCACAGAAGTAGGGCGGAAACAGCAGCAGAAAAGTAGGGCGGAAATTGGCATCAGCGGGGCTTGAAAAGTAAGGCGGAAATTCCAAGCCCTACTTACGAATTTCCCCAAAGTAGGGCGGATCCGGAGTCAGGGAGACCTCCGACTTCATGATTTTTTCACCGCGTGGGCCCCCAGCGGTTAAGACCCTCCCTAGCCGTTTTGGACAGTTCTGGGGCCCGACGAGGGCCCCGAGGGGCCGAACCTCTCCGGAAACGCTGCGCCGCATTCTTCTTACAAGTCACGACGCGAGGGGGGAGCGTGTTGCTCCGCAGGAGCCCGATGCCAGTGGGGGCCAGACTATGATGCTGCTTCTTGATTCTGGGCCCCTCCCCCTCGCCGCCTCGAGCGAGAGAGTTCGGCAGCAAATGCTGGGAGCTCCGGGTACCCTCACAAGTCCGTCTTTCGAGCGCGCTCGCGTCGACCAGCATAATATGGGACTGGATGAAGTAGCGCCGAGTTAGCGAAGATTCGCGGCGCCTAGCATCAACTCATCGTCGAGGCTTGGCGCCGACGAGCGTCGACCAGCGTCGACCAGCGTCGGCTCGCAAGAGTCACAAAAGGCACAGGAGGCGCCCTTGAGTTGCCACCGCATGATGATCATTTTTGCTTGTGGGCCTCTCAGCGAGAGAGAGGCCGGGGCCAGGGAAACGTGAGACTCGCGCAAGCCGGAACCCGGGCTTGCCGACGTTCTTTGACGGAGGTTTCCTGGATTGTGACGGTCCGGTTCTCGTGGGATGTTTGTGGTGGGAGGTCTTTGGAGTCGCCCCAACCCGAGTCCTAGAGTCAAGCCGCACAGTAAGCATGGGCGACCGTCCCAAGGGTACCCTTGCATCCTTGCCTCCTCGGTCCGTCCTTGGCCACTTCCGTTGGCCGCGCCCCGCCCGAAAAGCCTCGACGTGGGCTCCCAAGGCCCCTTGCGTCCTTGCCGCGGGCCCTTCTGCTGCGGGCTGCCCGTGCGCCTCCCCGACGGCGCCGCCCTCAGGTCGGACCGCACGAACAGCACCGGCACCGGCGGCCAGTCCCCGCCGCGGAGCCCAGGCGCCCCGCGCTGTCCCGCCCCGGGCCCCCCTCTGCCGTGGGCGCCGCCCGCGCGGGCCGTGGCGGCCGCCCCCGCGCCGCCTCGGTGGGGCGGCCCCCTCGAGGGGAGTCCATTTCGATTCGACTCCCTCCTCCTCCTCCCAACCTCCTCCTCCTCCACCTCCTCCCTCCTCCTCCTCTCCTACCTCCTCCTCCTCCTCCTCCTCCTTCTCCCTCTCCTTTCCTCACTCCTTCCTCCTCCTCCTCCTACCCTCTCCTCCTCCTCCACCTCCTCCTTCACCTCCTCCACCCCTCCTCACCCACCTTCCTCCTCCTCCTCCTCCCCTCCTCCTCCTCCTCCTCCATCTCCTCCTCCTCCTCCTCCCTCTCCTCCTCCTCCTCCTCCCTCCTCCTCCTCCTCCTCCTCACTCCTCCTCCTCTCCTCCACCTCCTCCTACCCTCCTCCCCCTCCTCCTCCTCCTCCTCCTCCTCCTCCCTCCTCCTCCTCCTGCTCCTCCTCCCCTCCACCTCCTCCACCTCCTTCTCCTCCCTCCTTCCTCTTTATCCTCCACCCTCTTCTCCTCCTCCTTCTCCTCTCCTCTCCTCCTCCTCCTCCTCCTCCTCCTCCTCCTCCTCCTCCTCCTCCTCCCTCCGAGTCGATGCCGACTCGATTTCGATCGAGTCCGATGCCGATACGACTTCGATTTCGGATTCTCCGGCTTCCGGAGGAGGAAGAGGTACCGATACCGCTGCGCTTCGCCCGCTGTCCCCTCCTTTTTGAGCCTCGTTGGAGGCCCTCGTGGCCACCGCTGGTTTCGCCTCGAAGTGCTGGTCAGAACGCACCCCAGGAGAGGTCCAGGCAGTAGCGGTATCGAACCTTTTGGTTCCCCCAGACCTGGATTTCAATTTCTTAATGGAGGCGGCCGCATCAAGGGAGGGGGCGTCCAGCCAAGCCTGGCTCGAGGACCAGGGGAGGAGGGGCAACATTAGAGGTGGACCGGCCCAAGGGGGGACAGGCTCAGGGGGGGGGATATCCGGGATAGGCTCAGGAGGGGATAGCCCTCGTGGCCACGGCTGGATCCGCCTCGAAGTCCTGGTCAGAACGCCTTGGGAAAATGTCGCCTTGGAAGCAGTGCCTCGGATCAAGAGCGTGAATGGATGTCCCGCTGATAGATTGCACGCCTCTTCTGTGCGCGAAAGTCCCAGGGTAGCTTCGTGGAGCGAATGCGGGATGACGATTAATAACAAATGGGAGAGAACGATTAAAAACATAGTTTTCTGCCATTTCTGCAAAACAAATCTGGGAGGAGAACGATAAAAAAATAGTTTTCCAGCCCGCGGCCGGTTTTTTCTAATCGTCATCCCGGGCGCCGCCACGTGAACACGACCCCGGGTCATTTGTTAGTCGTCATCCTCCATTACGCCCCTCTCGACAGAACAAGAACGCAGCCCAGGAGGGGTCCAGGAACCGATGTCTGACCCCTGGTCGGGGGCGACGTTGGGGGAGGCATCAGCTCGATGGGGCACGCATCGGCCCCTGGTCACCCCTTGATCTAGGGAGAGGGCTCACCCGGCCCGGGGTCGCGCGGATTCGCCATCGGGAGCCCATCGTCGGAAACTGGAACATATACATTACCAGTGGCGGGCTGTTTTTCAGTCCCAGAACTTTTTGAGGGTCGGGGACGACGTCGGGGTGGTGTGGTGTATACTATTTTCCCCGTTTTCCCGTGGAAACAGCGAAAAAACGTATACAGCAGGATCCTGTATACACCAGGATCCGCTCTCCAGTGCAAGTTCCAATGCAGGGCCGGAACAAGCGTCGGTGTATAGAGTTCGATTCCCTATATCGCCGATCTATCGGCGATGTGTCGCCGATTCCAGCTCGACGTCGGCCACTCTGGGCCAGCCCCCATCCCTAGCGTGGCCCCTCGCTGTCGAGGGGCGTACGCTCGGCCACGCCTGGCTCGAGGAGGAGGAGGGAGGATGACCTGGCTGTCTGCGTTCTCTCCCGTTCGGTTTCGGGTTCCTGATCCTCTGGGTCCAGTCGGCAGCACGCCGCGCGACGGCTCTGCAGGATGGTTGGGCGGCCAGCCGACGATGGGGCTCGACTTGCCGTTGCAGGATCATTCTGGTCTGCTCTGCGCCACAGTGGACTGCGTCAATTACGCGGCGTCTCGGCCTGGCTTCGTCGCGCAACTCGTCGCGCAAGAGGGGAATGCGAGCCCGATCGGCACGTTTGTAAGCATGTGAGTGCGAGCTGCTCATTTCCGCCGTTCCCCCAGTCCCCCCTCTCCGCCCCTGCCCTTGTGGCTCCCCCTCTTCCACGTTGACGGTGTCACTTCGCTGTTGGAGTCGCATGCCAGTGTTGTCTTCGGCGCGTTGGGTTTGCGTGCCCTCTTCCCCCATACCCTCGTCTCATGCCCCGCTGATGCTTCAATTGGGCATGACGGGTAGGATGACGCCCCGCGCAGAGGATGATGATGATGATGATGATGAGGAGGAGGAGGAGGAGGAGGAGGAGGAGGAGGAGGAGGAGGAGGAGGAGGAGGAGTTCTCTCTTCCATGGCGCTTGTGTTCATCGTTTTCTACTTTGCTTCCGCCCCGCCCAGCGGCGAAGGTCGCCGGGGGCGGAGGCGGAAGGGATGGCAGTGTTTCCTCGAAGCACCAGCGCCCACAGCCACGAGCCATGAGGAGGAGATGGAGGAGGAGGAGGAGGAGGAGGAGGCGGAGGAGGAGGAGAAGGAGGAGATCGGCGGAACAGACCGCCCTTGCGCCCGCAGCGTCAGAAGGAGGAGGATTAGGAGGAAGAAGAGGAGGAGAGAGAGGGAGTAGGTGGAGTAACGCGACAGGACCAATCCTTCTTCTTGCGGATGTCGTGAGTGTGCCGACCTGCCGACGGCTCAGCGGGCCCACAGCGGCTGGGCTCATCCAGCCCTTTCGTGCCACGGTGTGCGCACTGCTGCCGTAAAGACTGGCAGGCGGGGCAGTTGCTAGTGAAGAAGAGGAGGAGGAGGACGACCACGCGGAGTACGACGGTGAGGAGAAGCACGACGCGATGAACAAGATTCGAGGAGGAGGAGGAGGAGGAGGAGGAGGACGACGACGACGACGACCTGCGCCGCCCCAGCCGACTGGACGCCCGCGAGCCCGAGCCCGAGCCCGTTCCTGCTGCCCGCGGGGCTCTCCTCTGTGGATCCGCTGGAGATGCCGGCGGCCCAGCGTAACGGCGCGTCCCGCGAGGTGCCCCGTCCTTCTGCCCCGCCTCCTTCTCCTCTTTCCTCCTCCTCCTCCTCCTTTTCCCCTCATCTTCTTCTCCTCTTCCTCCTCCTCCTCCTCCTCCTCATCACTTCTCGATTATTCCGCCTCCGCCTGTGTCGGCTAGGCCTTACCCCCTGGCCGGAACCCACGAGGCGTTGAGCGCCCAGAGACCCGCGGACTCAGGAGTTACTGGCGCTCCTCCTCACTCCTCGACCTCCTTGCTCATCTCTCGAACTGGTGTAGCGCGGGACTCCGTGACTGCAGCACAGGCTTGACCGTGTGGATGGGGTGGGGAGATGAAGGCGGATAAGGGTAGGGAGGATGAGGCGGGGGGTCAGCAGGAGCAGAAATAGAACATTGAAGGACGCCAGCAAGGAAGAGGGGGAGGATCTTGGTGATGAGAAATGGGAGGCGAAGAGAGCGGAGGAGGGGGAGACAGCAGAGGCTGATGATGAGAAGCAGGACGAGGATGATGAGGAGGAGGTCGAGCGGAACGATGAGTAGGGAGAGGAGGAGGAACGGGGTGGTGGAGGGAGGATAGGATGTGGTGGAGGAGGAGGCGGGAAGAAGGGAAGGAGTGCGGGCATGGAGGGCAGGGAGAGAAGGAGAGGTGGTAAGGGGAACCAGGAGGGGTCGAGGGAGGAGGAGGGGGAGGAGCAGAACGAGGAGGAATTGAACACAAGTGTGTGCTTGATTGCCCGTGCCCAAGAGTGTGCCGCGATATACGCAGTGCGTGTTCATGCGAGCCCGCGTCACACCCCGGAATTTACCTTTACGCGCTTAGTGTATGCAGCATCAAGATTCCCAACGAGCGATGTCCAACATCTAGTGGCCTTTGGCCCACCCAGCCAGCCGTGCCTGGGTCGTGCGGTCCGAAAAGTCAGTTCGGGTTCCCCCTACTTGGCCTTTTTGTCGGTCCTTGGGGACCTCTTGGGCCATCTTGGGGGCCTTTGGGGCCTTCTTGGGGAGTGTTTGCGGACCTATTGGGCCGTCTTGGAGTCCTTGAAGACCGAACAGCCGAGCATGCCATACTCATCGGACATCTTACGTCGTAGGTATTGTCCGTGGTTTGGGCCTCTTGGGTTGAACCCCAAGACGGCCAAAGAGGTTTGCAAGAGAGCCACAAGATGGCCCACTTGGGGCCATCGTCGAACACGTGGAAAGCGTGGACTCCCCGCCAATGTCCCGAGGCTGTGGGAACGGTCTCGCGAGACGCCCCCGAAGCCAGAGGCGCCCGAGAAGTCCGCGAGTTGGAGGTGCTCGGCCGAGTATTACAATATTCCCAGCAGAGAGCGCGCAGGGACTTGGGGACATTTCAGTCTGTACCCACGGCACGGTGGTGGATAGTGGCGGGCAGATTTGGGGCAACTCTACATGTTTGGACACGCGTAGTATGCTTCATCATTCTGGTAGTAGCTGGGGTCAGTGATCCTCACATCAGCGCGCGGCCTCTGCCATCTCAGCCTGTTCACCTGTTCCAGCAGGGCTTCAGGCCAGCGGGGACACTATGTGATTAGGTGTTCCTGTCGTTCCTCGACCCCCAGAGCAGACGTTTGGGGACGTTGCGTATTTCTTGATGCCCTGCGTATCTCCACCCGCACATCTTGGAACAGTATCTTGGCGAGTCCTCGTGCGAATGGACGCGGGGGAATTTTCCGTGCAACAGAAGAGGGGAGGGGGGGCACAGCCAAGCGCAAGCTGGGGCCAGCCTGGGCAATTTCCCAGAAATGGGCAGGCCTCGGGAGCCTGCATGGTGGCCTCTTGAAGCAACATTTGGGCCGACTTGGGAGCCTCTGGGGCCCCTGGCTTGCCTGAGCGTTCCGCGGTGCCTCTTTTGCATCCTGGAGAGGATCGCCCAACATGACCCAGAGCTTGGCATTGCATTACTTGGCTTTTGGCGTTGTTGAGTATTGCTTGGTATTGTTTGGCATTGCTTGACATTGCTTGGCACTGACTGGAATTACTTGGCATGTGTTGGCATTGCTTGGCATTGATGAGCGTTGCCTCACATGGGTTAGTGTTGCTGGGCATCGCTTTGCGTTGCGTCGCATGTCTTCGCATTTCTTGGCATTAATTAGCTGTGCTTGGAATTTATTCGCACTGCGTAGCATTTCTTGGCATTGCCTGGCAACTCGGGGAGCGCCTCTTCAAAAGCAGAAAGGACAGAAAACCCTGGGGAACCCGAGGAATTCGGGCAAGGCCGGCCACAGGAAGGAAGCAACACCAAGGAGCCCGCGCAACCCGGGCTCGGTCGATTGACGCAAGCCGTGCACTAAGAGCTTCTTTAGACGAGCGCGTTCCACTACTCGCAAATGGCCTCGATCCCCCGCGGGGGATCTACGATGAGTTACATCGGACGCTTGCGAGTAGACACTATGCGAGTAATGGAACGCGCTCGGTGATTCTTCAAAAACACGCAGGAGCCCTGAGGCAAATCCGTATCGGGGAGAAAACGGGGAGGGGTCCGCAATCGAGTGGCCTCTGGGAGCCTTCACGATGGTCGGCTACTGCGTGTGCGCCGCCGCTTTCACGGCTGTCGGCGGCGAGCCCGTGGGTGGAAGTGAGAAGGGGCGGGCCTTCTCAGAAGGCTCAGAGGTCTCCTGGCCTGTTGAGAAGTTCTCTAAGCCTTCCGCAAAGGCATAGAAAACCTCTCTCAGAAGGCCGAGGCCTTCTGAGAAGCCCCGCCTCCTTCTGAGGAGGCCTGTTCCTTCTGACTTACCCCCTTCGCTCGCCGCCGAAACTCGGCCCCCCTCCCGTTTCGAGTCGGCCCGCAGGGTAGGCCACAGCTTACAGCATCTCAGCGGCCCCTCTGGCGCAGAGCGCCGGCCCTGCCAGAACTGCCTTGTCTGGCTGCCGGTCATTCTAGAGCGGCCCTCGCGTCCCCAGCGGGGGCGAGTTGTCTCCGAGCCCGGGGGCTTCTACACATCCGCCGTTTGGGGGATCGATCTTCCTGCACCCCCGGCGGTGATCCCTGTTCGCGGCCTCCTGCTGGGGCTCCGGGGGATGGGCCCCCCCCCCTGCAGCGGATCATGCCGCATCCGGTCGGAGATCTTCTGCTCCGCGCGTCGCGCCGCCGGCTCTCGGCACGTCGGCCGCATCCCCAGCCCCCAGGCGTCGAAGTCCAGAGCCTTTGCCTCCCGCCCCCTTTCCTCCTCCTTCTCTTCCTCCTCCTCCTCCTCCTCCATCCTTTCCTTCGCCTCCTCCTCCTCCCCCTTCTCCTCGTCCTCCTCCATCCTTTCCTCCTCCTCCACCTCCTCCTCCTCGCTCCTCCTCCTCCTCCTCCTTCCCCTCCTCCTCCGACACGCTGTCCGCTCGCAGTGGGCCCGGCGTGCCGCTGGGGGGCCGTCGCCGCGGCGCGCCCAGCAGGGAGCTCCCGCCCGTCCACGAGTTCCGACCTCGCGGGCGCCCCTCCCGGAGCCTCCTGGTCGGAGGGGGGAGAGGCGACACCGACACCGCCAGGGGGCGGCCTCCTCCAGCGAGGAGGCCCAGGATGCCTCCCCGAGCTGGAGGCTGCTGCTGTCTCGCGCGAGAGGGGGGGGGACCACACCACCAGGGAGGCCCCCCTTGCTCGTCGCAGCTCCTCGCCCTGGTGGCGTTGGTGCCGGCTCTCCTTGATCCTGTCTTGGGTCCACATCGCGGCTCAATCCTCGGTCCCTGGAGGCGTAGAGGGCTATCGGGATCGCGCGCGCGCGCGAGCAACCCGGACTCCCCTCCGCCGCGCCGAGGCCGTCGCCCTTCTCGCTGGCGCAGTCGACGCCGGCGACGCCGACGATGACCTTCAGCGCCCTGCCGCCCAGGAGCGAGCTTTGCGCGCGCCCTCATGGCCGCTCCGAGGCGAGAGGAGGACGAGGCGGGGACTTCTTCTCCCTCCCCTCCTCCCCCTCCTCCCCCTCATCCTCCCCCCCCCTCCTCCCCCTCCTCCTGCCCCTCATCCTCCCCCCCCTCTCCACCTCACCCCCCCTCCTCCCCCTCATCCTCCACCCGCCCATCCTCCTCCTCGCCCTCCTCCATCCCCCTCCTCCTACCTCCTCCTCTCCTCGCACCTCCTCCTCCTCCTACTCCTCCTACTCCTCCTCCTCCTCCTCCTCCTGCCCCATCCTGCCCCTCATTCCCCTCCTTCCCTGCCTCCTTCTCCGGCTCCCAGCGGCACAGCACTGCAGGCCCCACGGCCGCTGCAGCCGGTCCCGCTCCGTCCGGCCAGCCCCGTGCGCTCCACTCCGCGAGCCAGCGCGCCCCCCCTTCCTAAGGAGGGAAAGAACACACAGACACAATTCATCGTCGATCCCCCAGGAAATAAGGGAAAATATGGGAAATGGGGGGGGAGACAAAAACCAAACAAAAAATTGAACATATGGGGAATCCTAAAATTTGTGTCTATTTATTTTGTGTGTCCCAGGGCCCCTTCACTTCCGCCCGGACCGGGCGGCACTGAGCGCGCAGCACCAGGCCGTTTTTGTTGTTCACCGCTTCCTTTCCGCGTTCTTGACCCTTTTGTGTACCGCTGTCTTCATGTTTGTACCCATCGGCCCTTCGCTCACGACTCCAGCTGCACCCTCCCGCCCGAACTTCCCAGAGCGCCTCAGAGATTTGCTCTTCCATCCTCTACAACGTCTACAACCGTCCCGCTCTGCCTCCTTGTCGTCATCATTATGTTCCTCCTCTGCCTCAATCCCAAGCCTCTCACGACCTACTTGGGGGGCCTGGGAGCTCCCGATGCAACGCACTAGCCAATGTTAAACTTAGTGAAACCCTCCTGTCCCTCCTCCCTCTTCTCCTCCTCCTCCTCCTCCTCCTGCGCCTTTATTCTTGCGAAGAGGTCACGAAGACAACGACGACGATACCGACGACGTGGACGAAGACGGTGGCGACGAATGAAGATGACGACGACGTCGACGACGTCGTCGACGACGGCGGCACCGACGACGACGACGACCACGACAGTGGATCCATGTCGAGCTTCAGAGCGCGGTCGGCGCAAAGAGACCCTGGCTCCCAGCAGAGCGAGCCGGAAAGATTGGCGGAGGTTGCCGCCCCTGGGGTGGCGTCGGTGTCGTCGTCGTTGTCGCCGTCGCCTCGTGTCCACGAGGGTGGAGGAGTACGAGCAGGACGAGCGGGAGGGATAGGGGCCCGATCGCCCAACCTGCCCAGAGCCGTGCGGTTTCGCCATCGAGGGTTGCCGGTTCCATGTCGATGTTCCCCCCTGAGCGTGGGCCGTTTTCTTACTCGGGCCTCGGGGACCGTCAAACATGGCGGCGCGGAAAGGCTAGTCCTGTGGACGGTGCTGAGGAGTCCAGAGGTTCACGCCGTGGAGAAGGTCATGAGGTCAGCGAAGAGGAGTGAGAAGGGTCCATGAGTTTCAGCAGGGACCAGGTGGTCAGGGAGGAACGCGGGAGACGGAAGCGGGGGACATGCTCAGAGGGGAGGGCCAATAGTGGCCTTGAATTACCAATGTATCGCCAATAACTTGCGTGAAGCCCGCAATGCACAGAAACCTTTGTTTGGCTCATGTGTATTGTAGCCAGCGTGGACCCCAAACAGTGCGTTTCTGAAAACATAGGTTGTTCCATTTACGTAGTGTAATACATATATATATATATTGTGCGTTGTTTCTATGTTGTGCAATATACATTGTGCGTTCTATAAGTTGTAATCTCTGTGGAGCAGTATATGTGTGGTGTACTATTTGTGGTGCAATAGGTGGGGAGGGGGGGTGGACGTGTTCGACATGCTGGGTAGACGATCGGCACGATCGCCGTTCCCCGGGGGACCTTGGATTCCATGCGCCCCCAGGGCCGCCAAGAATTGGAACACGTCGGCGCAGCAACTGTAGATCAAGTGCGGCGAGCTCCAGAAAGCCAGGTCTCCGGATGTCAAGGAGCTCAAAGCCAAACTCTTGGTGCACGAGGTGGAAGGAGGTGGCGGGCTGGAGCCACAGCACTCCCAGAGCGAGCTTTCGTGGTCTTCGCAGCACAAGCAGCACCGCAGCGGTTCGTTGGACGAAAAGAGGAGGTGGGAGGCGACCTACGCAAGATAAGAGATGCCGAGCAGAGTCGCGGAGGAGCTCCAACCGAGCAAGTGTTCAAGAAGGCGGAGAAGTTAATTGATGTGCAAATGGCGCCCAGAAGGTGCTGCTGGAGGTGCACGAGGCGCTGCAACAGGCGCGCCAAGAGGAGGCGGCAACGCAGGCCAAGCAAATTGAAGTCAAACGCCAGCTTGCAGGAGGAACGGGTCGCGAGACCCAGGGCAAAAGCGAACGATGCAGATGCAACCATGTTTATTTGCAAGCAGTTTGCATGCAAGGTGGGGCAACGGTGCGAGTGCTTCGGCCTCGTGGAGGGCCTCAGCAGGTTCGCGGCCGAGCTGGGTAAGCACTCGGCTAAGCAGGATGCTGATGACGGCGTTCCTCCCCATCAGCGAGTTGGCATGAGTTGGCCCACAGCGTCTGCAAACAGCAGCAGCAGCGGCAGGGGCAGCAGGCATGGACGTCGACGAAGGGTTGGTCGACGAGAGCACGCGGCCTGACCCAGTAGAAGCCCGAGAAGCACAAGCGGTGGATTGGGGTTCACCAGAAGGCGCTGGCAGTCCCCGCCATGCGCGCGCGGCGGGGGTGATGACCTTCTCTACTTAGTGCTCCAGCGGTGCGAGCTCGGCTTCGGCGCGCCGGAGGCGCGGAGCACGGCGGTGCAATACCTGAAGCAGGAGGGCCCAGTGCCAGCGAGGCCAGGCGCAGGAGCCGCAGAGCCAGCGGTGCAAAGGAGGGGGCTGAGGATGCTTGCGAGCACGAGAGGAGGTGCAAGAAGGCCAGCAGCAGCCAGCCAGTCGAGAAGAGCGACGGCCAGCGCGGCTGGCGCGGATTCGCGAAGATGCTGCGGGGCCTTGAGCTGCGGCGAATGCTGCGGCGGAGCCCGAGGAAAGGCAAGGCGGACGAAGGCGCGATCGGGGCCCAGACTTTCGGCGGCGCGTGATGGAGGCCGCATCGCGCGACGGAGGACGGCCAGGAAGTGGGGGCATCAGCTGGCACGGCAGCGGCAGCGCAGCCCACGCTGGGGGGGGGGGAACGTCGAGCTGGTGCCGCCCAGGAGGACATCTCCCAATTGGGCAGCAGGGGCCGAGTTGGGCACATTCTGGGGGGGCTGCGATGGTCGGGTTTGCCGCGGGTCATCGGAAGAGACTTCAATCAGACGCTGATGGCACTCCAGTGCAGTCGCAGCTTGCAGCTTGCAGGAGCCATCCTTACGTGCCCAACGACCTCCCGGGGCACGCGCAGGAATGGGTCGAGGGGTCTCGCTGTCGACTACTCTGTCGTGGACGCATTGCTAGAGAAGCGCCCGGACAGCGCGTGGGTCGACGCTTGACTGCGCGCGCGGCCGATCGAGCAGCGGGGGAATGCGCGGCAGCGCCCGAAGAGCATGCCGCCTCGCATCATCGGGCGCCGCGAGGAGCCGCCAGCGCGCCCGCGGCGCCCCCGTTGGCGACGCGCAGGCGGCCGCCAAGGCGCGGGGCAGGTCATGCGCAAAGACGGGCAGCAGGCGCGCAGCCTGAGAGCAGTTAAGCGGTCGCCTCATGCGCCCGAGGTCGGCAGCAAGGATCTGCCCGAATTCCGACGCCAGAGGGCGGCGGGCCAGCCGATGGAAACGGTGCTCCAGCGCAGGCAGAAGGCGGGCCGCGGAACGGTTCGGAGCGCGCGCTGGGCAGCCGCCATGTGGGCCGCGGCAGGGCGGGCAATCAGACGCAGAGCTGGGAGCTGGAGGCCACGCCGAGGGCAGAGCGAAAGGAAAGGCGGCGGCCCGGGGCAGCTGCGGCGAAGGGCGGCGGCTGTACTTGCAAGTCACGGAAGGGCGCTTCGGCCCCAAGGCCACTCAAGCAAAACCCGCGCAATGAACCGGGCAGACGCTGTAGAAGTGGGCGGCCGGGGCGAACAGGCTGCGCGGACAATGCGGATGGGCAGTGCCGCAAGCGGCGCCTGATCGAGAGGAAGGACAAGCTGGCGAGCGCCGCCTCAGGGGCGGCAATAGGATTGCAAAGTTTTTCCTTGCCGACCCCGTCGCGGCAGCCCGGGGGGGGGGGCAGCGGGGGTCGCGGAGGCGGCGTCGACGACGCGGGCCAGGGCGCGGCAGGTCGGCCAAGCGGCCGAGGAGGAGGGGCGGCCGCGGAGCACGAGTGGGCCCAGCCAGTCGAGGCGGCGGCGGTGAAGGATACGGCAAAGCGCTTCAAGCAGCGCGCGGGCGTCGGCGCGGACGGCCAGCGCGCCGCCCATCTTGGCCTGCATCTCCGACGGGCGCCCGTCCTCCGCGTGGTCGCGGAGGTCGGGGGCGCCCTGGCGCGGACGAGGCGCGCGGCGGCAAGTCGGCCGCATCGCGGCGCTCCTCATCCCGAATTCGGCCACCAACGACAAGGCGATCGGCTCGATGTCCACGCAGGCGCGCGCGTGGGAATTGCCGCGGGCCCCCCGCGCCCAGAAGCGGCGAGGGGGCAACCCCGGGGTCTGGGGCCGAGCGACGGGCGGGAGCGGGGCGGGGCGGCAGCGCCCGGGTCTTGGGCAGCATCCCACGAGGCCGCAGACCCCAATGCGGAGGACTCGCAGAAGGCAACAGCGGCCGCGGCAAGCATGGACCTGGCCAAGGCTTTCAAGATGGTGCCCTTGATGAAGCTGCGGCACGCCGGCCTCCGCTGGGATTCCTCGCCGGCGACCCCGGCGACCGCGATGGCCATCTCCGCCGCGGCGCGCGCCCTGGTGGTCGAGGGCTGCTTTCGGGCGAGGTCGTCATGCAGGCGGCGATAGTTGCGGGCGGTGCATTCTCGGTGGTTCTGCTGCGCGTGATTATGATGCAGGGCGTGGGCCAGCTGGTCCAAAGCTCCCCGCGCGCCATCTGAAAGCTGCGCGAGGGCGACCTGCGCGCCTGGCAGCGGGCGGCCCAGGGCAGGTTAGCGAAGGTCACGGAGGAGGCGATCGACGCAGCGGTAAAGGAGTTTGGCCGGGTGGATCTGGATATACAGCGCGGGCAAGGACTGAAAGTACCGCGTGTTCGCCAGCTCTCCTTTCCCGCGCCGAGGATAGCCGCGGGCCTGCCATTGGAGAGAAGAGGCGGCAGCAAGACAGGGGGGGGCAACAGCGGCCGCCTCCGCCCGAAAAGGCCAAGGAGGTGGCGCCCTGACCCAGAGGGCCCGCGAGCCCACTTTTGAGTTCGGTTGCGGCGGAGGGCGCTGGGCCGGCGCAGGAACGCACGCGCGTGGCGCTGGAGGCGCGCAGCCGCGCGGGGCGCGCGGGGCGCGGGCATTATGCGAGGTGGCGAACCGAGGGGCTGGCCAGACAGTGCCCAGGATGGCCAGCCAATCCAACTGGTCGGACATGGCCAGGCGCAGGTTGGCTGATCGCATGCTGCGAGGCGCCCACCCGAAGCTGAACAGGAACCTGGTAGATGAGCAAGGGTGATGGTTCCAGAATGACATGACTCAGTTGCTGTGCTCGTGTGTTGATTTCTAGATGATGATCTGAACACCTCGTGCCATGCTGGCGCGTGGCGTGGTCGCTCGCAGCGAGGGCATTCACGGCCGCGCTGCCCTTGCCTGCCTGGTTGGGGCCGTCCGTCGAGGACCAACTGGCCCCAGGCGCGCGGTAAGTCGGTAAGAAAGAGTGGTGTGCTCGACGTGGTGCGCAATCTACGATCTACGATCTATGTGGAACAATATATGTTATGCCATCCACATTGTGCAACATACGCTGTGCACGCGGTGCGATGTACGCGGTGCGAAATCTATGTGGCGCGCAACCTATTGGTGCATTCGGCGCGGCGCAATCGATGTGGTACAATATACGTGACGCGGTGCAGCCCTTATGTTGCAACCGATGGGGCGCAATCTACGTCATGCAACCTACGTGGTGCAATTTACGCGTTACAATATATGTAGTGTGATCTGCGTTGTGCGATCTAGGCCGCGACGGGGCGGCGACGAGGTGGCGACGGCTGCAACGTAGCCGCCGAACCAGTTGACAAGCCCAACCGACGGGTGGCGACGAGACGGCGACGGGGCGGATGGCGGCGGCTACATAGCCGCCAGACTGGCACAAATACCCAGACGACGGGCGGCGACGAGGTGGAGATGGGGCGGCTCTCGGCGGCAACATAGCCGATATGATGGCAGACGACCCCAAACGACGCGCGGCGACGAGTCGACGACGGGGCGGTTCGCGGCGGCCAGCCGCCACAGCGACAGGCACCTCTATACGACGGGTGGCGACGATTCGGCGCCGGGGTGGTGGCTCGCGGCGGCGACCGAGCCGCCAGAGCGGCAGACAGGCTCAGTCCCCCAGAGCAGAAGTGAAAACCCCTCAGTCCCCCAAAGCAGAAGGGAACTTATCCGCCGTGGTGCACCAATGATGCATTATCATGCGGAGTCAAAGCTGGCTGGTTTGCTCCTACTGCTCTCTTGGTGGTCTCCTCGTCCGGGGAGGTGATCGGAGGTTCTCGAAGTATTCGGTTATGGTGACCTATCATACGTCATTGGCGGTCTTCGGTTTTTTCTTGTTGTTTCCAGCAGCGTGTTGAGGGTCTTTGGCGTCGCAAGTCTCCCGCTTAAAATGAAGCGTGCGTGTATTGTCTATAGAGTGTCCATCGCTGAAGAAACCCAGAATGTCTTGTGGACAACCCTCTGCAGTCTTCGCTCAAATGGTCTTGGAGAACCCTGGTGCACGGCCCCTTTGCCCTTTCCAAGACTGCGTTCTTACCGCGATGTCGAAGGTAATCCAGCCCTGGCGACGCGGGCCCTCCGGACGGCCAGGACGAGACACATCCAAATATTTCCCTTGTTCCATATCCTTCCTTCTGATTCACTCATTTTCATCGCACCTTCAGGCGTGTCCGTATACCAGACCAGGCGTTTTGTTTTACACGTCCTACTGAACTGAGATCCTGAAGCTACAAGGCTCAAGCCGTCACACGGATGGAGGGCTGGTCGTTGTCAAATTGCGACTTTCGCCGTAGCATTGGTTCAACATAAGCGCGTTCAAGAGTTCTGCTGGATGTCGGTTGCCTTTTGCAAAATGCTAATCTCGCATCAGCGCCACGCACATTCGCTGCCAAACTTTCCAATAAAAGAATGTCGGGCGAGTGATCTTGGTTTGGAATGCGGGCCTCTGAGTCGCGCCCCACACATCAGTGCTTAAATTCGTCCAGCTGCTACAATGACGGATTTGTTTTTGGCTAAGTTCCAGATTGTGGCTCTCGCCTTCGGCCTCTTCGATTTTTCATGAGCCGAAGTTCCAGACCATGCAACAGTTACACGGGTGGAGGGTGGCTCCTTTTCATAACGGGATTCTCGCTCGAGACTTCCGCAAAGTGTATGACCCGATCGTTGGACTGGTGCAAAACTTGAATGGATGGAGGGCACATCCTGTTCACAGATGTGTTGTTGTTCCATCGTTCTTGTGAGCGTGTTCAGCATGTACACCCGCTCCTCTGATACAGTCAACCCGCATAGTAAGGATGGGCAGCCTTCCCTAGGGTACCCTTGCATCCGTGCCTCCCCGGTCCATCCTTCTCCGCGTTGCCGACCGCGCCCCGCTCGAAGAGCTTCGACATGGGCGTCCAAGGCCCCTTGCATCCTCATCGCGCATCCTTACTATGCTGGTTGACTGTAGCTACTGCAGGTTAGAAGGGGGCATGCTTTGCCAAACGGGGCCTCGCGTGAGTGGCAGGCCCGACGGGCGCTCGCCGTGCAGGGTGCGCTTCCCGCAGTGGAACGACATGTTTGTATGGACGCTTGTAGAGGTGACTTGGCACAGCAGTGTCTATTCCAGCATCGTTGGCGCATCCTGGGTTCACTCTGGTCCCTCCTCCCCCCCTGTCCTCGACCGTTTCATCTCATCAGTTTTGGGATGACGCGCAGCTCCAGAAGGAGGGGGGGGGGAGGAGGAGGAAGAGGAGGAGGAGGAGGAGGAGGTAAGTAGGAGAGGAGGAGGAGTCCTGATGAGTATGAAGGCTTAGAGGGATGGATGAGATAGATGAATTGATGGAAATAGAGACAGCAGGGGAAACAAGACGGAAGAGGATGGGCAGGAAGGAAAATGAGGAGGAGGAGGAGGAGCAAGAGTGAGGCAGGCTTTTTCTCCGGGACACTCCGAAGCCTACAGTAGCAGGAGGAGGGAGGCGAACGAGGCCAAGGACGACGAGACCGGGGAGGGAGGAAGGCTGTCGCCCAGGCCTCCCACATGGGGCCGGAGTAGGCTGGGGTCGGCGGACCGCGCCATGCCGCCGATCAGCTACCTCGTGCGGCGCGTGCAGCAGACCGACTCCCTCCACCCCGATGTGGCCGACGCATCGGCGATGCGGTGCGATGCTCCGGCCCCAGCTGCTGCGAAGCCGTGTGGCCGGTTCCAGGAGCGGTTCCCCCGTCGAGAGGGGCCCTCTCGACGGGGGAACCGCTCTCGACGAGTCGACTTCTCGCCCTCTCGAGAGGGGCCTTCTCGCCTTCTCGAGAGGGGCCCTCTCGAGAGGGCGAGAAGTTCGCACTTCTTCCTCGCAGGAGGGCCAGCGGAAGCCGGCGGAATAAAGGGGTTGGGGGTCCGCCGGCGGAAGACTGGTGTCCTCCTCCTCCTCCTCCTCCTCCTCCTCCTCCTCCTCCTCCTCCTCCTCCTCCAAGTCGTGTGGCCGGTTCCAGGAGCGGTTCCCCTTGTCGAGAGGGCGAGAAGTTCACACTTCTGCCTCGCAGGAAGGCCAGCGGAAGCCGGCGAAATGAAGGGGTCGGGGGTCCGCCGGCGGAAGATTGGTGGAAGCCAGCGGAAGGAGAGTCAGATTGCCAAGAAATGCAAATCTCTTTGGGCTCTGTGGAGCGCTCCACAAGAGGCTTCGCGTTTGAGTGATCGAGAGGTTGACTTCTGACCTCTCGCCATCGTTGCCCGGCGCAGGAAGGCCAGCGGACGCCGGGTGAAGCAAAGAAGTGACATACCCCCCGGAGAGATGCTTCTCTAGGGATCCGGGGTTACGGAGCGGGCCCCTTGGGAGACCGCAAGTGATCGGGAAGGTCGTAGCTGGGGGTGCTGTTAATTTGTAGCAATCAGAGTGAAGGTCCTTCGTGGAGAAGACCACGAAGGCCAACCGCAAAATCGAGTATCTCCACGAGTCCCAGTGCAGGGACACGACCGAGGTTAACGACGCGATAGAGGAGGCGATGAAGGTGCCATGCTCCCGCGCGCGCGCGCGGGAGTCTGATCTGGCGTTGGCCCAGTGCTCAGCGCCTGCCTTCGAGTGGGCGAGGGCGATCTGGGCTCCATGATCTCCGGTGTGCTAGAGCTGGCATGTCGGGGGGAGTATACCAAGTGCAGCCAGATCTGACGCCAGGGGGGCCCGAAACCTTGGGGTTTCCAGCGTTCACGCGCGCACAGACCACGCTTCCAGAGCCTGTCCCCAGAATGCGTACTGAAGAACATAATCAGTCGATGAGTATGGCGCGGCTTGCTAAGGTGGCTTTTCTGTCGAGCTTTGGTTGGGCGTCGCGTAATGGGGGGCGATCGATGGGGGGGGCAGCGAGGGCTGGGAGCTGAGCCCTTTAGGGCCCGAGAAGTAGGTACACCATTCTCACCCCCCATTGATTGCCCCACCCACCCCCTTTAAGCGACGGTCATCCTGATTGCTTTCTCCTGCCTGGCACAAGTGTGTTCCCCACTTGTGGAGTCCCCAACCCGGATATCAGAGCGCAGCCCAAAGCGCGTGAGATGCTTGTGGGGGACGCTTGTAAGGACGCTGGAAACCATGCCCGGGGAGCTTGCAGGATTTAGAAAGAAAGCTTCGCAGGAGCTCCGAAGGAGCTTTGAAGGAGCTGCGGAACGGCTTCTCGCACGCACAAGGTGTGTTCCCCAAATTCCGATTCGAGTAGTGTTAAGTCGGGCCTGTCCCTCTACAGGAGGAATCTCCAGAAATGGTCACAAGATAGTCTGGGGACGATTTTTTCACTACGTTCGACTATTTGGGGGTATTCTTGGGGTGCTTTTTGATTTTTCCGCCCAACAACTCCCCGCATAGGGGGACACGCCCGACCTCTAAAGGAGCGGTGCTGCAGTCGTTCGGACGTCGCGCCCCTCGGCGCGCCCTCGGCGCGGTGCCCCGCCCTCGCCGCTCCTCCTCCTCCTCCTCCTCCTCCTCCTCCTCCTCCTCCTCCTCCTCCTCCTCCTCCTCCTCCTCCTCCTCGTCGCTCGCCCTCGCCGCTCGCGCTCCCTCGCCCTACATCGCCTCCCCCCGTGCTGCCGAGGCCCCCCCCCCGGGGCGGGGGCGAGCGGCCGGTTCGGCGGAGCCCGGCCCGTCCCGAGCCCCCTTGCGGGGCGCGCTCGTGCTCCCTCGCCTGCTCTGCCGCGGCGTCCCGGCGGCCCGCCCCTCCCCTCCTCCTCCTCCTCCTCTCCTCCCTCCTCCTCATCTCCTCCTCCTCCTCCTCTCTCCTCCTCCTCCTCCTTCCTCCTATCCTCCTCCACCTCCTCATCCCTCTCCCTCTATCCTACGTTTCGTCCGCCCTGGCCGCTCGCCGCTTCCCTCGCCCTTTCATCGCCTCCCCCGTGCTCCGAGGCCCCCCCCCCCCGGGCGGGGTGCGAGCGGCGGTCGGCCGGAGCCGGCCCGTCCGACTCGCCCCTTGCGGGGGCGCGCTCGTGCTCCTCGCCTGCTTGCCGCGGGGTCCGGGGCCCGCCCCCCATCCCTCCTCCTCCTTCCTCCTCTCCTCCTCCTCCTCCTTCCTCCTCCTCCCCTCCCTTCCCTCCTACTCCTCATCCTTCCTCCTCCCCTCCTCTCCTCTCCTACTCCTCCTCACTCCTCCTCTCCTCTCCTCCTCCTCCTCCTTCATCCCTTTCCTCCTCATCTTCCTCATCCTTCCTCCTCCTCCCCCCCCCCCCCCCCCCCCCCCCCCTCCTCCTCCTCCTCCTCCTCCTCCTCCTCCTCGAGTGCCGTGCCGCCTCTCCTCGCGGAGGCTCTGGCAGCCGCCAGAGACACCAGGGCGACCCTTGAAGCCGCCGGCGCCCCCAGCCCCGGGGAGGCCCCGGGCAGGCCTCAAGAGGGCCTGTCGGTGGCTCAAAGATCGGGGGCGGCAAAGAGGGGGGCGATGACTAGGGGGGGTTGGATATCATGGCGGGGGCCATGATGTTTCCCCTGATTTCATGGCGCCTCTTCTTGTTTCATTACGTCCCTGGCCCCTCCGCTGGGCCCCCCCGCTGGGCCGCGCACATGCCGCCAGTCATGAGTTGCACCCCCCCCCTCTTGGACACCCCCCTCTTGGCCGCTCCCGACTCACGTGCGAGAACGGAGTGCAGTCAACCCGCATAGAGTGCCGTTTCTAATACATGCTCCGCGTGCGGACCATGTATTAAAAATCAAGGGTTGATTATTAAATACAAGGATGAATGTATGCATTAATTTATTCATAAGTTGCTCATGTATTAAACATCTTTACATAAATTATCCTGGCGAAAGACCCAACCATAAGCAATTGTTGGTAACGCGTTGTGGGTGCCGCTTTCGGTGGGGCTCCATATGGGGCCACGAAGCGCTGCCTTGGATAGGGGGAACCGCATGCGGACTGCGCCACCGGGGCGGGCCTTCGGTGGAGCACCCTATGGGGCAACGAAACGCTGCCCTGGGTGGGGGAACCGCATGCGAACACCCCCACTGGGGCCTTCGGTGGAGCTCCCTATGGGGCTACGAAACGCTGCCCTGGTGGGGGGAACCGCATGCGAACACCCCCACTGGGGCCTTCGGTGGAGCTCCCTATGGGGCCACGAAACGCTGCCCTGGGTGGGGGAACCGCATGCGAACACCCCCACTGGGGCCTTCGGTGGAGCTCCCTATGTGGCCACGAAACGCTGCCCTGGGTGGGGGAACCGCATGCGAACACCCCCACTGGGGCCTTCGGTGGAGCTCCCTATGGGGCCACGAAGCGCTGCCCTGGGTGGAGGAAACCGCATGCGAACACCCCCCACAGGTCTTCTGTGGAGCTCCCTATGGGGCCACGAAAACGCTGCTCCTGGTGGGGGAACCGCAAAGCGAACTGCGCCACAAGGGCCGTTCGGAGGAGCTCCCAAAGGAGGCCAACGAAACGCATGCCGCTGGGTGGTGGGCTGCTGCGCGAACTAGCGCCACGGGGCTTCTGCTCGAGCTCCCATATGGGGCACGAAACGCTGGCCCCTGGTTAATGGAAACCGAGCATGCCGCACACCCCCACTGGGGCCTTCGGTGGAGCTCCCTATGGGGCCACGAAACGCTGCCCTTGGTGGGGGAACCGCATGTGGACACCCCCACTGGGGCCTTCGGTGGAGCTCCCTATGGGGCTACGAAACGCTGCCCTGGGTGGGGAAACCGCATGCGAACACCCCCACTGGGGCCTTCGGTGGAGCTCCCTATGGGGCCACGAAACGCTGCCCTGGGTGGGGGAACCGCATGCGACACCAGCCACTGGGGCCTTCGGTGGAGCTCCCTATGGGGCCACGAAACGCTGCCCTGGGTGGGGGAACCGCATGCGAACACCCCCACTGGGGCCTTCGGTGGAGCTCCCTATGGGGCCACGAAACGCTGCCCTGGGTGTGGGAACCGCATGCGAACACCCCCACTGGGGCCTTCGGTGGAGCTCCCTATGGGGCCACGAAACGCTGCCCTGGGTGGGGGAACCGCATGCGAACACCCCCACTGGGGCCTTCGGTGGAGCTCCCTATGGGGCTACGAAACGCTGCCCTGGGAGGGGGAACCGCATGCGAACACCCCCACTGGGGCCTTCGGTGGAGCTCCCTATGGGGCCACGAAACGCTGCCCTGGGTGGGGGAACCGCATGCGTACACCCCCACTGGGGCCTTCGGTGGAGCTCCCTATGGGGCTACGAAACGCTGCCCTGGGTGGGGGAACCGCATGTGGACACCCCCACTGGGGCCTTCGGTGGAGCTCCCTATGGGGCCACGAAACGCTGCCCTGGGTGGGGGAACCGCATGTGGA